GATCTCTTTGTCGTGAATTCTTCCAAGTACTTCCAGATGTTCGCACCGACTTCGAGGCACTTCCCAGTAAAAATACGGACCAAAACTACGTTGACCAATGGCTGGATAAAACACTTGTTGATATTGGAAGTCAATCAAAATTCAAGGCACTTCTAGGACCTTCTTCAGTAAATGGATCAAAAGAATTGGCTGACAAAGGCAAGCAATTAAACCAAACAGCAACACTGAAAAATAATCAACCATCAACACTGAAAAATAATCCACCATCAACACTGGAAAATTATCCACCATCAACACTGAAAAATAATCCACCATCAACACTGAAAAATAATCCACCATCAACACTGAAAAATAATCCACCACCAACACTGAAAAATAATCCACCACCAACACTGAAAAATAATCAACCATCAACACTGAAAAATAATCCACCATCAATACTTAAAAATAACCCACCATCAACATTGAAAAATAATCCACCATCAACACTGAAAAATAATCCACCATCAACACTGAAAAATAATCCACCATCAACATTGAAAAATAATCCACCATCAACACTGAAAAATAATCCACCATCAACACTGAAAAATAATCCACCATCAACATTGAAAAATAATCCACCATCAACACTGAAAAATAATCCACCATCAACACTGAAAAATAATCCACCATCAACACTTAAAAATAATCCACCATCAACACTGAAAAATAATCCACCAACATCACTTAAAAATAATCCACCATCAACACTGAAAAATAATCCACCACCAATACTGAAAAATAATCCACCACCAATACTGAAAAATAATCCAGCAGAAACACTGGAAACTGATCCAGAACTAACACTGGAGAATATTTCACTAACACTGGAAAATAATCAATCATCAACCATAGAAAATAATCCACCACCAACACCAGAAAATAATAGAGCAGCAACGCCTGTTAATTATCCAGTAAAAGAAAGAAAACGACGAAGCCTGAGCCGCTGCAACATCTTGTAATGAAATTTTGTAATATATAGAAAAAAAATATATAGAAGAGAGTTTCTTGTGATTTTAGAACATACTTTTAGAACGATAAAATTACTGGTGGAAAGGAGTAGAGTTAATTCATCAATTGTAATGCACGGATTCAGACACAAACTTCAGACGTGGCTAAAACTTCATGTTTAACAGGACAATCAATAGATTGCGTGCGACAAGCATGTTTTATGTGGTTGAATAACCAAAATTTAAATGCTAACACGTAGCTAGGGTATTTTTAGGACTTTAAATTTCCCGTGCCGTGTATGTGTTATTATGTAAACGGTAAACTTAGTGGAAAGCAGCTAATCAAGTAAATAAGTTAAAACATATAAAAAAAAAAAAGTAAATAGCACGACCCATGCAGTGGTTTACAGTGGTTGTATATCCTAACAGTATTGCATAGGCGTCTTTATCTTCATAAAGACGTATTTTAGTTCTCTTTCATTTCGAGTAAGCATGATCATGTAAAAAGCCTCTTACCTGCATGAGTTAAAATAAACTGGAGATCCGTCTTAAATTATTCATAACATAACACTTTCCTTGGAATTTTCCATGGAAAAGCATATATACTTCGCATGTATTATTATCGGGCTAAGTTGTTTTATGATTTCATCAAGTTACAATACCATTCTATACATCTTGCGACCGGCGACGGATAATAAGCATATATATCCTATTACAACTTTTCCGGCAAGAAGTTAATTAGACCTTAAACTTTAGCTATATTCAAACTAAGGTTATTTACTATAAACCATGCAAGGTTTTGCAAGGCGGAATTGACTAGAGACTGAAGCTCGTGCAACTTCGTGAACAATTAGGTACATCATCTATGTAAATTATGAATCTCAAAAGGCCAATAATACTATTGTCACGCCACAGTTAATTTGATAAAAATAAGTAAACTGCCGTTAACATCAGCGCTAACAGCATACGGTAAATTTCAAATAGAATTTATGCACTCGATTGTTAGTCATCAAGATCACATTAAGTTTAGGATTAATGCAGAAGACAGTGAGAAAAATTTACCTCAATTTGAGATTTTAAGATTGCCGTCATAATTTTATAAGGATGCACACAGGAAATTACCTGGTGATAAAGTAACATCGTGATTCACTCAATTGGTGAATACCTGTTGTGTCATACGAAACATAGATATCAATAGATCGCAGAAATCATGCTAAATGATTATTCTTAATCAAAAGATAATTCTTAGCCTGAAAAATTCACCCTAGTGGAAAGATACGAGAAGACATTCATGAGACAAGAAAACTGGACGTGTATAGTGTGTTGCACTTTTAATAATATGATAGATTGACTTTGTATATATATTCTGATCAACTCATATTTACCTAACAGAAAAGATGTCAACCTCAAAAGTCCAAAATGACTCAAAACACGATGAATTGACCAAAGAAGCAATGGACAAAATCAAGGAGGACTTGAAAGAAATGGCAGAAAATATGCGCTTTTTCTCCCTGTGTTTTCGAGCTCTTTATTCAGACAAAACTGTTGATGGTGATAGCGACGCTTCAGTAAAGTTCAGAAAGATTCGAGATGACACAAGACAAGATGCAATTGTGTATGTGAAGTGCATCCTTCCCGTAACGACAAGTTTCATAATGTCTTTTAAAGAGTACTTCGAGAATTACGAAGCTCTGTCGTACAAAGAGTGGCTCAGAAAGTTACCAGACATTGTGAAGAGTACGAAAGAACACAAAGATCTCGCGCAGACCGTATTAGATATGCACGAGAGGATCATGGTCGTCTTCAAAAAAAGTGAAGACGAAGCAAAAATAGTCATGAAGGAGTTCAAAGACTTGCAAAGTAAGTATGAAGAGATGTGTAGGGAAAACGAAGCGACAGCAAGCAGGAGAAAAAAATGGGCGACTGCACTTTTGTTTGTCCCAGTCGTAAATATGATCGCGTGTCCATTGTTGGGAAAGTCTGCACGTAAAAACAATGCACTGGCTGTTGCTAACAAATCAAAAGCCGAAAACCACGGAAGTGCAGCACTCATTGTGGCTGAAACCCTCACACCTGCACTGTCCAAATTCATTGATAGTCTGAGTGAAGTGACAAGATTCTTTGCGAAGCCTCGAAAATAGTTTGGAATCGTTTAAAAGGAAAGCAGAAAAGGAAGCAGAAAGCAAAGAGTCGCTTTATAAATTAATGTGTGATGCGGCGGAAGATATAAAATCCCGCTGCGATGACTTCCTCGGAAAACTTCCAGATGTTCGAACCGATTTCGAGGCGCTTCCCAGGCAAGATACCGACCAAAACTACGTGGACGAATGGTTGGAGAAAACCCTCGCAGATATTAAGAGTCTGTTTGTACGTGAAATGGTCGAACGGATATCAAAGCCATCACAACCAATGCCGGCCCAACCGAGACACGTCACACGAGGAATTCAACTTCCAGGAATGGAAAAACCACCAAAACCACCACTAAAACCACAACGATCCACGAATAAGACAGATGAATGACCACGAGGAACAAAAGCTGTACATCCATGGTTATTATACACTTGCTCAACCGCAGCATCACTGGATGAAGTACAATGAATAATTTGAACCGAACGTTTCTGCATATTGTATCCGAAAATTCACTTATTCGCATATTTATTAAAAGTATACAGGTGTATAGGTAGACCAACTGTATATGAAGCAAGTTCACGGGTGTTATAATATTCTACAGTGTAGTTTGCTTTAGTGTAAAGATCTAGTAGATTAAAACTTGTCGCAATTTCACATATTTTCTATCATTTCGTCTAGTCCTTTTGGTATATATATAGTGAAAGTTACAAAACCATGGAACTGTCTATATTCGCTTAGCATGCATCCGTATTTACTGATGAATTACCTGAAAAATGCCGCCATATTTCACGAGGTAACGTATTGCATGCTTTTACGCGATGCGGATATCTAATCTTTGACCCATGCAACCGTGATATTTACAAACATCCTTTCAGGGCCTTTTTGAGAATTAATAAATGGGAGTCCATGCATTGGCAAACATGGCCGCCACTTTAGGCCACAGGCGGTAGGGGGCTAGTTGGTAGGGGGCATACCCCCAGAAAAATCTTCCAAACCATGGCCTGGGAAATACTATTTTAGAGCTGATAAAGCTATCCAGTATAGATAGGCATAGCTCAAATTCGTCCTATAGTATCAAAGTTTATCAACCTATTGATAGAGTTAAATCGATGCACAAACCTCAGATATATGAACAGGTTCGATAAACGGCCAGCGGCTTTTCTGACGAATTAAATCTTTTAACAAGTTCTCTCACATTTTTAACTAGACAAGAAAAAATGAGATAACACCTTATAAAAGTATGTGTGGCCTTGGGTTATTCACCTACAAGTATTATTATAGCAAAAAGGTCCTTGGTAAACAAACTGCCAAAACTGCCTTCGTTTTTGCATGCATGGATGACTAAACAACAATAAACCTTGGGTGCGCAAGGAATGATTGGGGATCCCCTTTTAGTATCTGAGCCACAACTCAGAACATCGCCCTTGTCGCAAATATCAATTCCGAGAATTTTCAAATAAACAAGATCGTGAAAATGTTGTATATACTTACTCTGCTCTCGGATTGCCAATACCCCAGGAATCAGAAATCGTTTTCAGCTAAAATCCTCCATCAGGACATTGTGTCATCGTGGCTTTTTTGTCTCCCACAAATTCTCTCCTCTTGGCGAGTTCTGCTCTCTCAACAGCGAATGCATGTTTCTCGACCTCAGACTCTGACACAGGCTCGGAATATGAGCCATCGTCAGCGGAGTCATCCTGGGACGATTTAAAATGAGTATATCCATAAGACGCTGTGACAAGATTGCGTTCTCTCGCTATTGGTCGCTGGTCTTGACAACTAAAACACTGTCAGACACTTCTGAAACTTATTAATCTACTACACAGGGTCACTGAGGTCTAAGAACACTGATAACTAAATTCGTAATACTATAACCATGACAATATATTTCCCATTACCGTAACGGTGTTCTACCTATAACAACATAGCTTTATCAGGCCATTCTGTACAGAACATTTTGTCTAATGTTTTAAGTGAAACCTGTCTTATATTAGCTGCAAAAGCACTCGAGTTCTTGTGAAAAAAAGAGTGTTTACAGGCTTGTGTGGCGTTCTATTTCGAAACGTCCATAAATTTCAATATTTAATAAATTAACTGCTCTCAACAAAACCAACTGTCTAATTTTGGTGAAAATCCAGTAAAGATTCAGAGTAGATAATATCAGTATCCACGCTTCCTTGGTCTTAGTCTCGAGGATTTTTTCGGTACACGAGCACCCTGCAGATCATATTTCGGAAAGTAGTTTGGAAGAATTTCTTTGAAGTAAGCTTCCAGAGAAATCCCAGCAAGTCCATGGTCTGATATTTCCTAAAAAATCGAGTAAAAACAAAATTTAAACAAAGCAACTTTTGATAACTGCCGTATTCTTGCCGCTTCAGAGAAGCCTACATTTTAATTGAATTTGTTTATGACCTATGCCAAACACAAAAAAATAGCATAAATAATTCACAACACACAAACTGGCTTGCATGGCAATTACTTTAGGACTTTATACAGGGTGTCCCAGAAAGAAACCGCAATTAACCTAAGTGAAAAAGTGATTAAATTTACAGAAATGTGTGATTTTAAAGCCTGCTCATTTGTCTTTTCAACGATACGTTTCTTAGGCATTTTGGGCAAGAAATTTGTTGCTAATCAGTAGGGAACTGCGATAGAGTACAGGTCATACTTTTGTTTATAGGTATACTTACTAAATTATATTGATCGCTATTGGAAAATACGAGTTTGATGTCACTGAGGCAATCTTGGTAAGTCTTATATTCAACTGCCATTAACTTTCTTTTTATTGTTCCGAAATCCATCGGATTGGAAATAATCTCGGCGTAATCTGGAACCTGGACAACGTTAAGATCATTGGATCAATAAATTAGGATAATAGTTAGAATACTTCCTAATAGTAACACTAGATCAATAAGAGATTATCCGTACTGGGCCTCTAGGAAGAACAGTTTAGCACTGATAGAGCTATTTAGCATAAATAAAGTTAGTTTAGTTTAGGTTTCCTCCTGTAGTAACACTGGATCAATAAGAGATTATCCGTACTGGGCCTCTAGGAAGAACAGTTTAGCACTGATAGAGCTATCCAGCATAAATAAAGTTAGTTTAGTTTAGGTTTCCTCCTGTAGTAACACTGGATCAATAAGAGATGATCCTTACTGGACCTCTAGGAAGAACAGTTTAGAACTGATCATAGAGCTATCCAGTATAAATAAAGTTAGTTTAGTTTAGGTTTCCTCCTGTAGTAACGCTAGATCAATAAGAGATGATCCTTACTGCACCTCTAGGAAGAACAGTTTAGAACTGATAGAGCTATCCAGTATAAATAAAGTTAGTTTGGTTTAGGTTTCCTCCTGTAGTAACACTGGATCAATAAGAGATGATCCTTAGTGGACCTCTAGGAAGAACAGTTTAGAACTGATAGAGCTATCCAGGTATAAATAAAGTTAGTTTAGTTTAGGTTTCCTCCTGTAGTAACACTGGATCGATAAGAGACAATCCTTACTGGACCTCTTGGAAGAACAATTTAGAACTGATACGAGATGAGAGCTATGAAGTTAGTTGGGTAGATCGTTAGGACGAACCCATAAGATTAGATCAATTTTTTTTCCTGCAGTAGCAGTAGTTCTACAAGGAAGCCTCTTTTCAGACTTAGAGTAAAACTAACGGAACCCTGAGTCTAATAAAAATACGAATGAACAAACCTCAGAAATGTCAACAGGTTCGATAAATGGCCAGCTGTCTTCATGCCGCATCAGATCTCTTAACAAGTTCTCGCACATTTTTAACTAAACATGAAGATCTTATGGTTAGTATTTTTTGAAGGAGAAAACACAACCTGCAGGATTTAATGAAGGGCAACGAGGATATTCATGTTAGGACCATCCAGCGACTATATCCTCGACATGTTGTATTGTTGATGACGGAAATGCAGACATGCGCAGAGCGATCTCATGTTGGATAGACCGGAGCATACCTCAGGATTTTGTCTTGGTCGTCTCTTAGCAACAGTGCAATCCTCCTCTGACGAACTGCACTTTCGTTTTCTGCTTGAGCACCTCAACGTTTCTCCAGAACTAACACAAATAACAAATTAATTTGATTTATTTCACCCAGGCCATTTCGGGTACGGTGAAAACCAGGGGCAGGGACGACGTAAGGATCACGTTGTTAGGGGGATGGGGGGGCGAAAAATAATAACATAATCAAGGCTTCGTTTGTGGTGATGGTATAGTTTCTATTTACAGCGCATTAGCAGATCAGTGAACGAGAACCCCCACCACACCCCCCCCCTGGGCTGAGCCCACTGTTGACTAGCCCGTTCGTGCCACTAGTAAACTATATTTAAGGCAATTTTTCATTGCAGTCGCTTTGCCCGAGCAGGCGAAACGGACTGTAATGGAATCGCCTTTAAGCGTATTGGTCTACACCTTTACCTCTGATTATTGTCGTCAGAATCCGGATCACAATTCCCGGACCTTTGTTGCTTTTTTCCTGGAAAACTTTCCTTGCCTTCCCCTTCCCGTGAATCGTCGATTAAGAAATCCCTGATCTTTCCGCGACATTTCCTTTTTGAACGTTTCTCATCTCGGTCTTTTGCAGAAGTTTTTCCCCTTCTATTCTTTCTCTTGATCTTGGACCTGTTTCGTGTTAAAATGTTTCTTCAAATGAGCAAAACGTTTTCAATCTTATCGGTAAGGCAATGTGATGGGACCAAAATGGGAGCAATCTGATTGGTTCCTAAACGGTTCTTAACCTACAGCTCAGTTTTGGTGGAAAAAATTACTTTCAAATGTTTTCAAATGTGATGGATTTTAGTTGCTCTGTCTAAGTTATGCCTCTTTCTAAGACCATGCGAGCAATTTTTCAGCAACCACTGATCCACTATTACCTTTTGGGCTCGGCTTTTCCTTCTCTGATGAGATCTCGTTTCTTGGCGCGTTCCGACCTATTCAAAACAACTTCCTCGACTTCTGACTCAGACTCGGACAAAGTCACAGAATACGAGCTATCATCAGCGGAATCATCCTGGGACGTTTCAAATTCAGAATATTCGAAAGATTCCATGACAAGGTCTTGTTTCCTCGCCGTTGGATGCCGACCTTGACAACTACAGCATTTCCAAGCACCTCTGAAAGATATTAAAGGCACAGTACAGCCTTTTGTAATAGGTTGGTTTTAAGGTGGTTACTACTTTTTTATTTGAAAAACTGGCAAAAAATGGAGCTAATTTAAGCTCATTATTGTTCTTGAAAGAAATCAAGTTTGACAAACATAAATTATGCATATGCCCGATTTCTTTAGTTATGTTTTATTTATATTAATTAGCATATGTAATCAAGGGAGGGAGAAACATGGATACCTTGGGATATTTCTTAACGGTGGATCGTGGCATTCTTTGTGGTACACTTTAGGACAGTTATCACAACAAATCATTTCACCTTCCCCACCACAAACATCACAATAATCGTCATTTTTCTCTTCACCTTCATCTTCAACAATCTCACCCTACGAACAATGTCTTTTGCTAGGACTTTGTTGCTACTATTTCCTATATTTTGCACTCCCTACATCGTGTAACGTTGCATTTATATATATTAACTTATTGCAAGTCTTCTCCAAGTGTGAAACATCACAAATATCCAAAATGGGAGCATTCTGATTGGTTCCTGAACCGTTCTTAACCTACAGCACAGTTTTGGCGGGAAAAATTGACTTTCAAATGTTTTCAAATTTTGTTTTGTAGAACTTATTTGAAATGTTTTAAGATGTTTGAGAGTGTGAACGACCCAGATGCCTTTCCCCCTAAAAATTTGAATTGAAAACTACTGTAAACATACGTTAAAACGAACGCGCCACGTTGTATAGTTTTAAGTAGCAACGTAAAAGATCATAACATACCGTTTGTTCACAGGAAGCAGGGCGAGTACTGCGTTCGTTATCTCGCTAGTAAAAAATGAATGCAAAAGCTCAAGTAAACGTCCATAGTAACTATATTATCACTTCCTAGACTAAAAGCAATGGCAAATTTCGTTCCCCCAAACTTGAGCAGGTTCCCACGCGTGTCTCGGGCGCAAAACACGCAAAAACACGGCTTCACTATTCCGCCTGGAGGTATATACAGGCTTTCCAGTTATATATTCACAATAATGGGTGCTCACTTTACAAGCGGGACAATACCATTCTCCGTCTGGTACGTCATGTAAGGCAGGTCTAAGACATACGATGTGGAAGCCTTTATGGCAATGGTCACAAACTGCCATCACCCCAGCACCATGACGACATACCATACATTTCTAGCAACGCAAAGAATACAGAACAGTTTAGAACTGATAGAGCTATCGAGTGTAAATAAAATTAGTTTACTTTAGGTTTCCTCCTGTAGTAACACTGGATCAATAAGGGATTATCCTACTGGACCTCTAGGAAGAACAGTTTAGAACAGATAGAGCTACCCAGTATAAATAAAGTTAGTCTAGTTTAGGTTTTCTCCTGTAGTAACACTGGATCAATAAGAGATGACCCTTACTGGACCTCTAGGAAGAACAGTTTAGAACTGATAGAGTTATCCAGTATAAATAAAGTTAGTTTAGTTTAGGTTTCCTCCTGTAGTAACACTGGGTTAATAAGATGTGATTCGTACTGGACCTCTAAGAACAGACTTAGAGTAGGTTTTTGAATTATAAAAAGACTTGGTTAGCATAAACCCAGTGACGTTTGCTAGCATCTTACCAAGAACAAGGTGGAAGCCTCCCAAATGATACAGTAATCTAACATCGCGATACAGAACCGTAGTCTTGATGGCGTCATCGCACCTCTCACAGCTGGAACCCATTCCTCATTCAGCCACTCCTCTCTGTCCCCCAACTTGCTCCATAAACGGTTTCTTTTCACACCTAAACCAAATTCCACAGCCAATTCCACCTAGGTTGATACATAAAAAACAACTTGTAAGTCTGGATTAGGGTATGTACTGTATGCACAACTCCGTTGGAAAATTCTATCCACACATATCCTTTAATAACACTCAATCGTACCAAACCATCAAGCAAAGATCGCGACTTCACTTTCTCGCACCAGGTCTCCAGGTTTGCTACACAGCCCAGGTTTCCACTGGTGACACGCGCCGCAAGATCACCAAAAGCTCCTAAATACGTTATATTGACGAATAAAATTTTGGCCAGAAAAATACGAGAGGAGAATATGAAGTTGCATTAAAATATTTCCGAAACCAGGGTCCGGATTTACTGGGGGGGTGGGAGTGCAACAAACACTACCACCCCCCCCCCTCTAGCCTGCACCAAGGGTGTGCAAATTTAGCAAAGGTGTACCATTCTTTTGGAGCTATGTAAGGAAACTGGTACCAAATTATAAAATGGTGTGTGTACTTTATCAATCAGGCGGTGGCAATCTTTTTGAACAAACATACACCCTAATATCCCTTACAAGACCCTAATATCCCTTACAGCCTATGCTTGTACCTCAACCCATGGCTGGCGGGTGGCCTGTACAATCCCTCCCCTCTCCCCCACTTCCCAAACAAAATCCCTCTACGTCCTCACCTTTTTTAACTTCCCAAGTTCACCTACGCTGCTCTCATTCGCGTTTTCCCCCGAAGAACTGGGACATTCTTCAGATAAACTTGTTTTCCTGTGGAAAATGCGACCATCTCAAATTATAGTTTTCGGATTAAATTGATTTCATGTTATTATTGTGAAACTCCGAACTGAGGTAGGCTAAATATGTTTGCATGATGTTTCCACTTGGTGAATATAAGCAACGATTTGGAACCGACCATCGAGAATACATTACAACATACAAACTAGATTCAATAGATGAAAGCAATACAGTACTGTACATACCTTTTCATCAATCGCAGTTTCTTTGCGTGTATTTTTATTTTCTGCATCAGAGCATTTTCGTTCTCATCGTGAAATTTGAGCCTCAATATCAGCTGGTCAACTTCACTTGCCGTACCGTAATAATGCCACGACTCCTCACTGCAATAAACACATAGCTGATGCAGCTCGAAAGTAAGAATTGATCCTCGCCAATGCACATTCTTTGTACCTAATATTCTTTTATGCATTGTCCTTATGTACATGTAAATAACACGACTTAATAAAGTCCTTTGACTGTCCAGTATTCATATATCAGTAATTTTTGTAAATGAATTCTTGGTACAATGTCATGAATTCTTGGTACATAGTAATGCGAAAATGTACTGTGTTACACCTTGAATTACTGACCTATTCTGAAAGTAATCTGCCATCGATTCGACACTCAGCATGCGTCCTACCACCCCCTGGATATACTCAAATGAGGGGTTGCTTTGAATATTTCCAGGGGGGGTGATTATATCTTCATATGGCAGAGCGAGAAAAAAGAGGCCTTTCTAAATAGGTTTGTATTCTTTGATGATGAATGTGACTATGATGTGAACAACCATACATTCTTATACCTTGCTGAAGGGGTCTTCCCCCCTTCTTCATTAATCACCCCCTCTTTCTCAGCGACCACCTCTTCAGGGCACGACATCGCCGCCGTTGCATCCGGGCCCACCGTCTTCTCAACAAACAATATTTCAGGATGAGACTGAAGCAGCCAGTATCGACTGTGATTGCGGTCACTTCCCAGCGCCTCAACACGACGGCAATCCCTCGTTTGGTTGATCGTCTCCTGGAAGATGTGTTTAAAACGCATTTAACTAAAAACTAAGCTTTTTCAGCTCTCCAAATTCAACGACTGCTATACCAAGATATATTTACAAGTTAGGCCTCGAAAGGCAACAATCCATATGTACAGTTACTAGGGCAATTACTGTTCACTATGATTTTATCTGACGAGTACATACACTGGTATCTAAGAACGAACCTTTAGCCGTTCAATTTTTTGTCTTCTCTTGAAAAGCTCCTCGCTAAATGAAAAAAAAAACTCAATACATCGAATCTTTTTATAAAGAATGTCTTAAAAAACGCATACATATATATCATTAATTCATATGCATTAAAACAAAATCCGTAAAAATTTCACGTTCAACCTTGTTTTGCTTTGGATTATATTGTACGAAATATTAAAATTCCCTCAGATTTTTGGAACACCTCACGCCATGTAGAATTATAACAATAACAATATAATAAGCACAATAGATAAAGCCCCATTTATTCTCGAAATTGCTTGGAAAATTTCCATACTTTCTTGCTCCTAAAATTTTTCCTAATAATTCGCTTGTTTACCTCAAATAACGCATCTGATCAAGTTTCTCTTTTTCAGCTTTGCTCTTTGCCGCCATTTCTTGTCTCTTTGTGGAAGCACAGCTTTCCCTATCCTTTTCTTTCATCCCCAGTTCATTACTCGACAAGTTATCTTTGATTTCTTCATCCGCATTAAACGATTCAGGGAGGGGACTCTTCTCTTCCTTGCCAGTAGCCTTGTCTGTTGAACATCATGACAGCTTAGAACTGATAGAACTAATGAGCATTCCTGCATGCATGAAAATTTGACGCAACTCTTACCTCCGTCATCACCACTGTTCTTTTCCTGAAAAGGTTTAAAATATGTAAGAACTCCAAAAACTTTCAAACCAGGAGTTCCTATAAGCGCAAATTACTCCACCTCTGAGCGGGTGTCCCCCCCCCCCCCCCTTAAACATTCCATACACCAGAATCGCAATTTTTACTAGGAGACGTATTTCATAATAATAAACAGCTCCTGTTAATCGATTTTGCGATAAATAGCAAGATCTAATCACTGTTTTTCTTGAGGAACCTTTTTGAGCACACTGGGTTAACTTTATTATCTCACCAAAAATGTGTCAATTTCTTTCTGGTCAGGTTTTGCATCATCCAGCTGCTTCTGTTCCTGCAACAAATGTCGTATCTCTCCTTCAAGCTGAAGCTTCTTTCTCCTGCAACATTTCAAGCATGATTAAGATGTTGAACATTTATGTAAACAAGGGAACATTAACGATAGGTTCACTGGTTTATGAACTTGTCCTCACCATGACATTCTTCTGGTCTCCTCCAGATCTTGACAATGGGAGCAAAACTTTTCAGACGTCAGTATTTGCTCCAGCATGTAGATCAATATCTTTGATAAAAAAGAAAATGATATATGTATAATGTATTTCCGTTTTTTCTTATACCCTGAGACGTTCAGTGGAGCCCGCTTTCTAATACTTTTTCTATTATTTCTTTCCGCATCCCTTTCCTTAATCCCTCCATTTCTGTCTTTCTATCTTCCTTCCCTCCTCCCAGTTGCCACTAAATCCCCGCTTGTCTTCCATTTTTTCCACCCTAGTTTCCCCCACTACGGAAAATTTTTAAAATCCCACAACTATATTTCATTTCCCTTCGTTTTTCCCGGTGAATTTCTTACTTCAATTCCTCTTTTTTTAGCCCTCTTTATCTCTCTTATCCCATCTCTCCAATCCTTAGCTTCTTTAACATCTTTTTATGACCTCTCTCTATCTTTTCTCCCTTCCCCTTTTTCAATTCATCCTTGACCTCCCCCCCCCAACCGTATTTCATTTCAAACAAGTTGTCCCCTCATCATCAACCAACACGAACTAAGATGATCAATTCAACTCCATACCTCAAGCTTCTGAACTGCGCTCAAGTTCACAACATCTTTCCTCTCAAGCTCCAGAAGAATGTTCCCCGACTACAAATTAAGATAACGTATCCACAATTAACTTCAAACAAAACTATATACCAAACATTTAAATTCCTTAAATTTTATAACCAGACTTTACACCGTTAAGTAACCATTCACGTTTACTTCTCTCACCAGATTTCTTTGCTTTAAACCATCCTTTTCTATTCCCTCATAATTACAACAACGTTTTAAATACATCTTGGTTAGTTCTCCAACTGTCGAATCACACATGTTCATGTCCGTCAAATCCACCCCGATATCTGCAAACTAAACAAACAAACAAACAAACAAACATTGTTGCGAAAGATCTCATAAAATGTTTATTGAATTCGAAAGTCGCACCTCTTTCGATGATTCTTGTTGCCTTAAATCTTGTAGCAATACTCTAAGCAATCCAGACAAAATGCGAACGAAGACATCAGATTTCGGACCATCGTTCATTAATCCCGAAACAAGATCATCTAATACATAAAATAACATACATTTACTCAATGGTAATTAGTATATTATAAATCAACCTAGTATACTCGTTTTCGAGAGCATTTGCATATCAGAGGAACTTACACCACGTCAGTCAAGCTATATGATATAAACACAAAAGAGTTGCGGAAATAAACGCGGGAAACACTTTCGCTTTTATGGTAATATTGCATAAGACCCATGTGTAAATATGAACTAAATATTGTGATAATGCTACTCTGAGTCACCAACCGGGTACACGCTGAAAAATTAGCTTGACCACGATGGGAATCGAACCCGCGACCTTTGGTTTGCTAGTCCAAGTCGCTTTTGTTGTAGTTTTTTTTGTTGTAGTACAGAAGCCGTATTTTTGTTTACTGTATACCTGGGCAATACTGAAGATCTTCATCTCGACAGAGAAAGTTGCCGTAAAAATGAATGAATTCGGTCACCATAAGAATATCGCCATAATGTCGTTTCAACGGCTCAGGTGCTGCCACAGGTTTCGGGGAAGGCAAGGGAAAGCGAATATCCAAATCAAAACAACTCTTTGCCAGTGGCTAAAAAAAATGGCAAAGTGACTATAGTGATGTATAATCATACAGTTAGTTCAATTCAAATCTTGGGCAACCTGCAGCGAACCAGTACTTCCAAAAAATCTTTACACAAAAAAGAAAGGGATAATAAACAAAAGAGAAAAAAGAAGAAAGGATGAAACAAATGTTTACCAATTCAGACTTCTTTTCGGAATCATCTCTTGAACAAACCATTTCAACAACCCTGTAACCAGCATCATAAGATATTAAATTCACACGATTCACGAGGTGCGAGCGACGTCTTTTAGCACAAACCTTTCTTTTTCATTGTTCCCAGCACCAACTACCGCGAGACCATCTTTATCTGCCGGTTTTCTGATAATAAAAACATGTCCGAACCGATTAAATAGAAAGACAATCTAATATCATTAAGACAGTATTATTCATTTACCGAGGCGGGAAAACAGCATTAATTTTAGCAGGTTGACCATCTTTAATTTTGCTTGATTTTTTCGTATTAACAGTAAACCTTCAGAAATAAAAGAACAGCATTTAACAAAACAGAGTTATAACTCAACGATGTTTTTACTGAAGAATACAACTGATATCATTAAAGAAACTCTGTTGGATTAGACAGAAAATAGTTTAACAATAGAAGTTATTCATTTGCAAATGAAACGCTTTCATGTCATACATTTGTGACAATGTTTTTTGCTTCTTCAAAGCATTTTTCTCAACAATCTTCTTTTCTTTTTGACTAAATCCGTCATCCAACGTAATCATATCGTGCTAAAACATATGGAATACTTTAGATATAAAAATCAGTGAAAAAAATTAACCTTTCAGTTTCACAAAATTTAAAAGAAACACAGAATTTCAGCTTGTCTAGGTTTCAAGATTTCATTTAAACAGAACACAGTATTTTGTTCTATATTAACTAAAATTCACGACATAAAACGGCGTAACACGGAAAAGATTCCTTTTGAATCGATTCTATAGCCGTAGTCAAAGTGAATTTAAATTGAATACCTTGGTTTTGCTTTGTTTTTATATGGCTTTTAACTTCGACAGAACTACATGTATTCGCTTTTTTCACATCAACTATGTTTATATCGCCGGAGCTATTTTTCGACTTTTTCACTCCAACTTCATCTCGCGAAATGGTCTTTGGTTTATCACAATGCATTCCTTCCTTTTCACGTTTTTCCTTGGCTGAAACAAAATCGTTTTCGTCGTCTTTTGATGCGACAGTAATTCTTTCCGCCTCATCCGACTTAAAATACAAAAACGAAAGATTTAACAACATGTAACTGTTTAGGAAGAACAATAAACTATACTATTTTGAGTATTTCCAATCATTGTCTTACAGTCCTAGCCTTAGGATAAACATATTTGTGTTAATACGAACTACTACAGGACATTGAAACTGTTTGTTTACCTTATCCACAATGTCTGTTTTATTTTGTTCAACATTAAACAAACTTCTTGCGGCCTTTCCTTCAGTTTTGCGGCCACCATTTTTCTTTGTCGCGTCTTGTTTAGACTTTTCTGACGACTTTTCAATAACGTCTCGAATTTTATCCTGAGGCGTCAGACAAATCTTTAGTTCTGCCTCAACGGGACTTACTTTCCCATTTTCATCAATTTTGCTTTTACTGGGAGTGATTTGCTCCTGAGACTTTCGGTGTTTGAACGAAGAAATTGAGAGTTCGTTGACTTGGATCTTTCTTGATTTTCTGCTTAGGAGCATTATTTCCATTTTGTCCTGATATTGTGTCAAGGGGGTTTCTCATAGCTTTCTGAAACAAAAATTATTATCGTTATCACCAAAATCAACGTCAATATCGCTCTTAACCATCATTATCCTTCACCCACCTTATTATAAACCATCATAATCAATCAACCATCATAACCATCAACCAAATATTATATCCATGAACCACTATCATCCATAATAACTATTATCCACAACTATCATATCATATCTATCACTTATTTTCATCCATAAGTCACTCATTATATCCACTAACCGTTATCATTCCTTAACCATGCTGCATCCAGCACTTTCATATCCATTATCCACAACTGTCTCTTAACTATTAACATCAACATCCATCAATTCATTAACAATCATTTTTATCAACCATCCCCATTTGTCAACCATTATCACCTATCAACCAACATACCTCATTAACCATCAACATCTATCAACCACCCAACTCATGAATAAATTTCAATTATCACGACTATGTAATTTCTATTTTTCTCATTTGATTTAAATGATTTTGTGAAACAATTTGAACTGTTTCACCAAAAAGTTTTACATACTTTTTGTCCTTTAAGTCCTGATTTTAATGTTGAGGCTGAAGGCAAGTCGTACTTCTGTACAAGGTCATCCTAATTAAGATAAACCAGAAGAGGAAATTATTGAACTACATTAGTAAAGATCACTTCACATCCCAGACTTCAGCAATTATACTTGCCAGAAAACCAACTTCATTACAAAATAATAAGCTTATTAAGTTTGTTGCTCTTTTGACTTTACCTTAACCAACCACATGTCTTTGCCCTCCACAGAATATCTTTCACTACTGTACTTTATGAAAAGTCTTAACAATTCTTTCGACGGCAACTTTGTCTTGTGCCTAGAAAAAATATCCAAAATTGATGCTATTTTTTGCACTTTTAAATGAATTATTGGTTTACAGTTCACACTATGGCTGTTAAATTGAATTACTTTATTTCATCAGGTGATATATCTGTAAGGACTGTGTCCTTTCCTTGAAGTTGAACTTTGTATTTCCAGTCAGAAACCTTGAAATGAAACAAATTCATATTATAATTGTTTGGTAAATATTGATAAGTAATGGTTGTTTCACTATCAGTCTTACCTTTTCTGCTGCCCCGTAGATCCCTTTATTTTCCTTCTCACTCTCCGCCTTCTAGATCAGTTTACATACAAGGAATGATTACAAAATAATACACCATGTCGTGATGTATGGCAATTAAGGATGTTGGTTGGTTTGTAATAGGTAAATGTGTATACCACTCACCTTAATATTTGAATTCAAAACCTCAATGATTACACCTGGACATTTTCTGAAACAATAAAATATCATAACAATTACTCATGTATAATTTTGCAATATAAAAACAGTTTCCATCGAAACTTCACAGGAAGTTTAATTTCATGTTTACTTTCCATTCTTGGGGTTCAACAAGACAACTTCTTCTTGGATGGAGTAATGAGTTGTTAAAAACTTCACACATTTGTCCACCAGATCTTTAACTTTTCCCTGGCCTGAAAAAAATGAAAATTTGCTTACAGAAAAATCAATAAACAAAGCCTTTATCCTGCCTAAATATTGCCATTTCGAGGTTGCACAAAATTGCTTTAATATCAGATGTAATTCACTCACTCTTGTGAACACACTTCAACACTTCTTCTTTAAAACAGTCTGGAAATTTTTCCAAGTGTTTCAAAGCTTCTTTTTCTGACAACAGGGCATCATTAAAAGTGAGCCCAGATCGACTAGTGTATTGGCATGACCAATGTTGAGAGCTGTACAGAAATACCTTGGCAATATATTCACTGGCATGTTGGTCAAGAAAGATATTGTCAGTTTTGGGCCACCCAATGCTTGCTACATTGGTACTTCCTATGCCTGATGGTATGTCACGACTATTGCTATAGGAGCCTGGGACGTCCGAAAATAGCCATACAATTAATAGATGCATCTTCATCAGACAGTTGACCTGGTGAAATGGAGGCTTTGCAACCTAAGGCAGAATTTATAGAGGGGGGGATGGCATTAACCCATTGGCCATTGACAGCCTAGTTGTTATTGCAAGTGCAGCCTAATTGCTGTAGGTATTAAAGATGCTGTTACACTGTGCAAGTTGCAAGGAAACTTGCATAGCGTAATACCACCTTAAAGCACATCTTCAATAGTAAATGTAACGTATTACCAGTAAATTCAGTGTTCCGAGCAAAAGTAGCTTCTAAACTAACGGTGTTGCGACCGGGCAGGATGGGCAGGTTTGATAAAAGTACGCTGTTATTAGTGGAAGTAATTCAAATTAAAATTCTATTCCGGTTATTTTCAATTTAAATACATGTTAGGCGGAAATCATCTCGCTCAAGGACCTTTGGAGTTCTTATCCTTGCTATTCTATATTGGATTTGTTAAAAACCATTCACTGAAATTCACAGATCGGCGACTGAAATCGTAACGTGCGACTCTCCCCTATACTCTCCTACAAATATATTATTATAAATCGTCTATTTATCGCTTCTAAACAGACATTAAAAGGATACTCGTAGCTTCTGAAGCACTCTTTGGTCTCCGGTATTACAAACAGCTCTTCGCTTTCCTTTAGATCTTTCGGAGAAGGCGATAAATTATAGATTTTCTTTTTTAAAAGCGGCATGATTGCATTCGTTCTCGAACGCTGGATTCGAACGTGTTTCAAAAATGGCGGGACTCCGCGGGAAAACCGAAAGTAGGCGGGAACAATTTGACACTGACCTCAAAGGTATTTCCTGTTAACTGTATGCAGATCATAAATGATGGCCATGATGATTGGACTTTTAGGGCTCACACACTGATATTGCGCATGTTCCGCCAGGCAGATCTCTTCATTTGTGGTACTATGGTAGTCGATAAAAAAGTGATTTAGGGATTAATGGCTAGTTACCAAGCCCAGGCGACTATTTAATGCGATGTTTTGCATATCAGATCTCAAACATGCAATATCAAAACTTTCTGTGTAAACAACGGGTTATAAATTACCGTATAAGGTTTGAAAGCAATTTTTATTTACATTTTTCATACATATTTACACCTTTATTGTCGACGATTTGTGCGGTTTCAAGAATTACTACCTCACACTAGGTATTGTTACAGTTATATTACATCAAGTACGGTGGTGGTCGCATGCGATTGCAGTCCGGCTGACCCTTCGTTTGCAGGCGGATCCAAGTTTGGTTTGCGCACCGCATTTCTTAGTGGCAACGAGATTGCGTTTGGAAGGAGTGCTCGTCATTGTCGTTGATATTGTTGTGTTGTGCGATTGCTCAGTTGTCAGGTTCAGATGACGTTTAGCATTATCTGCGTCGGCCGTGTTGAACGTGACCGATGGGGAATGGTGAGGAATATGCGCGGGATTCGGCGTGGACGAGCGATTGAAATCGCAAGCCCAAGAACTTGTTCTTGGTAAAGATGAATCTTTAAAGAAACACATGCGTTTTTTAATTGTGCATACAAGTAAACAAGGCTTTGTATACTTATTTCACAGTATCTTTGGTCAGAATACTGATATGAAAGTCGAACTTTAATTTAGACAGAAGTCACAATTCGTCGACAAAGTTCGATTAAGTTGACGAAATTAGAAACATGGTTTCATTGTTTTTTGAAAACATTTTGTCAACTGTCAAAGATTATGAACATTACGAAGATCACTGATTATGAAAGTACTGAAAATAAAAACCCTTAGCTATGCAAAATGTACTGTTAAAAGTTTTATACAACCGGCATTTTTTTATTGAAAACAATTTGATCTTTGGAATGAATCTTTGGACTATTTTTTATCATGTGATATGGATACGATTATTCCAAAGACTACGACATAACATACGTCATTGTTACCTTGGATACCGTTGTAATACGCAAAATTTCCTCCTCCAGGGCGGATTGGCGTACAAGGCCCGATTGTTTCAGGCGCAGGCAGGCTGTTGATATAGTTCTTGTTTGGCTCCATCTCAAGATTTTTTAATTCAGCCTTGAAAGCGTTAGCTTTTTTCTGTGCGACCTCGAAGGCATATTGGCCTAAAGAATATTGGACTATTGTTACCCCACGCAATGAAAACAAAATTACAGGATGAAAGTTAGACTAAAGTCGATCGATAAACGAAAGACGGGCCATGTTACACGGTACAATCTTTTAGTTTGCAAATTGCAATGCAATTCTATTTTTGAGAGATGTAAATTTGGCAACTACGAAACTTTTAGGTTTATTAAACACCTTGGACGTTTCTTACACTCGCATTTTGAAGACTCTTCACTAATTTACATCTCTTAAAAATATAACATCGCACCGTCTTACAGGGCGTTTATTCTCACCAATAATTACAGCCAATATCAACATTGTCATCGTCATGTACGACATTCCCGCCATTAGCTTGATCTCGACCCAGGCATTGAATGGTACGAGGATGAGAGTGACCACACGGGGTATAGCGGGAGCATTGATGAAGAGCACGAATATTGTCATGACAACGAAAAACAGGAAGTGGCCAAAACATGTGGTCAGGACACCAAGCCTGTTCTCAGTCCCTCCAAATTGGCTCGCCAACCAGGAAAGACGAACGTCGAATCTTTCTTCGAACTCTTTAATCGACTGGAAAATATTGCCATTAAAACGAGCCATGTGAATGTTGTTAAAATTACATTTTGCCACCTAATTGAGTTCTTAAAAAGTACGTCTTCTCTATTCTGACGTTATAACTACGCCATTCTTTAATCGTTTTGCTTTTTGCCTTTTTCCATTATACTAACAGACAAACACAACATGCATCTAAACGAAAATGGCTTGAAAAAATTGTACGATGTAGCAACGAAATATTGTCTAGATGCGTTGAAAACAGCTACCGGGTTATAAAAAATACTCAATAGAATTATAGAGAAGAATCTCGTTACAGCATGATTGGAGTTGTTGACCGAACAGTGAAATTTTGCAATTTATATTTTTAGGACAGAATATTTGCGACCACTTACTTGCAATATGAATGCAACAGTATCGTTCAGTTTGTGCAAGCTATCCATGATGTTCTGATGATGGTCCAATGTTTCGTCTTGTCGTTCTCGAATCTGGCCAGTCTTTTCATCTGAAAGAGAGAAAGATTCGGACACTTTGTTGGTTTTGGAGTTTCCCTTCATAATTTGGATGCATTTCTGTTCTGTAGGTTCTTAGAGTTTTCCAAGCCCCATTATGATACGAATTAGGCAATTATCTCCTAACATACCAATCAATCCCCAGGTATCCATGGTCTTCGCTTTAATCTCCTCAAGATCCTCAACAACCGCTGCGTGTTCCTCCTTTCTCTTCCCATCCTGCTCTCGCAGTTCCGCAGTCGTGTTTTCTGACAAGATCAATCGATCACGGAATAAATCAGTCAATGAATCAACCAATAAATCAATCGTATCAAAATCAGCCTTCTCATAATCAACCAATCACTCCCTGGCACATGAAACTAATCAATATCAGGATCAGAATAAACTGGTCAATCAATCTGATCACAATACACCAACCATTTTATGCAAGGTTATCAAACAATCAACCTGATCGTAATCAGCCAATCGATCATTCTGATCACGATAAATCGATCAGATTGATGGTCAATGAATGAAAATATCTATTCTCTGAATGACATTCGTCACAACCAAAATGCGACGTTGGTATAAACTAGGCCTTACCAAGTGCATTTGCAATAGCCTCAGTCATAGAAGAAAGTTGTTTCTCAGCTTCCTTGATAACTCTCTTTTCGTAATCAAGAGCCACGACATTCTCCTTAATTTTCGTCGTCAGCTCCTTATTCACGTTTCCAAACTCGCTGCGAATCTTGACCTGTTCTTGAATGAGATCTTTGTGACCGCTGGTAAGTCTGTCCAGCGTTCCTTTTGTCGCCTGGTTGAGATTTTCTTGACCGACCTGAAAAAAAGTGATGTTTGTGAAACTGTCACGACACGAGAAGAGTATTTCATTTAGAAAATGACGACCTCCAAGAATGTCTGTGAAAATAACTATTAAATCTCCGGAAAATATCAAAATTGCTAGATTAATTAAGAAAATCTCCATGAAATCCACACGAATTAAAAACCCATCAGTTTTCGGGGAAAATGCCTCAAAATGATCCTCGCTTGACCTTTAGGGGCTGTTTACATGAGCCCGGTTACCCGAGATTCAACGAAGCATGATATGATTTTGAGGTATTGAAATGTGCAGATAACAAGATCCTGGCAGTCGTATAATCACCGCAACAATGCCTGTTTGGTGTCATAAAGACTTATTTCAGTACCTCAAAGTCCTCTCACGCTTCGTTGAATCTCGGGTAACCGGGCTCATGTAAACAGCCCCTTAGAGGACGAACTATTCGGGTCTGTTTGAAAACGCATCTAAACCAGTACAGCTCTGCTGTATAAATAGTTTTTATCATATAGTATTTTATATCAGTTCAACAATGGTATCAAGGCCAATGGTATGTACCTTCAGTCTTTCGAGGAAGTTCATTTGATCACCAGCTGAAACAGCGAGCTGATTCACGAGATATTCGGTCTTCAATCTGAACTGATGATTCCTGGTTGCATAGCAAACAGACCTGGCGCGATTGCTAATGATGTGATAAGCGTTCCATGCATCCGGGTCCATTCCTGAGGTACAATCTCGTAGGCTCTGAATAAAAAAACGTTTTCGACAAGATATAGATCATAAATCACAATTTTGAACGACCCAACTGGAAAACATTTTCCTGACGCGAGTATCCTTAGGGAAATATGAAGTTAACTACGTTTTCTTCCGTCTTCCGAGCCAATGGCAATGAAATTTCCGCCACAGTAAAAGTCCACAAGTCAGAATCCAACCTCGCAAGCCAGGCTCTTTTACCTACGCTCCACGGCCCACGCTGCGGCAAAGACCCTGGTCAAGGCTGGTCACGTGATTCTTTTGTTACGCTTCTCCCGTGTGGGGATGGGTGGGACACAAGTAGCGCATAGATCACATCAGTTAAAACAGCGTGTTTCTAAGGACTGAATATTGAGCGTGTCGTTATTGTTATTTGACCTCTAAATTCGCTCATCAACGCCCAAATTTAGAAGATAGGACAGGCCTTCGAGTGTCTGTATTGAATATCAACTGAACTTGTGACGATACTAAAACCGATTCTATCGACGATGATACAGTCTACACATAGTACTTGAATCTAAATTCGGTTTATTGCTCTCTTTAGTTTTTTGCTGCGCCACACTAGCTGTATTTATTTCGTTTATTGCGTGAACCGCTATTTTTAGTTGCGTTAGTACAAAGTCATCTGGATTGTGACAAGTGCTAAAAATAGCAGAAATGGTATATGGACTTTGCCACTCCTCCCATGGATATGAACTAAGCGCTAATTAAAAACCTCCCATATTTTGGGAGGTCACATGACCAGCCTTGACCAGGGTCTTTGCCGCAGCGTGGGCCGTGGAGCGTAGGTAAAAGAGCCTGGCTTGCGAGGTTGGTCAGAATCTTCGATTTAGCACATTAATCGTTCAACTTCTGAAACGGGCCTGACTCGTGGTGTTTACTATATTTGTTTAGTATAATTTCAGTATTGAAAAATGACCTTTGAGCATTCTGATTGGCTCCCTCGGCAGTAACTATGAGGCAATAGTTACTGCTCAGAGCAGTCTGAGCAGTAACTATTGCTTTTCCCCAAAAAACATGGCTGAAAATACTCAAAATCGTTTTGGAAAAATTTCGGAAGCAGAAATTGAGAACAAAAATCAGTTGTATTTATAAATAAAACTTTTTCAATACTGAAATTATACTAAAACAATTAGTCGCCTCAGGCTCGGTGATTGCAAGCCTATATTCACTTCGCCTTCGGCTCAGTGAATATAGGCTTGTAATCACCTCGCCTTCGGCGACTAATTGTTAAATAGACAATACAACTGCATATACCACCCACCATTTCGTCGGAGCAATAGTACAGCGCTCGGCCTTCGGCTTTCGACTGACAATTGAACAAAGATACGGCAAGTTTTCCAATCTCTTCCTCACCCAGTTCATGACAAGACTTTCTCAAACGAGTGATTATCTGCAAAGTTACATAAAACACAATTCAAACATATGGTAAATCTGCCTATATGAGTTACCAATATATAAATGCACCAGTTATATCAACTATATAGTCGATACATATCAAATTTAGGAGTTCGTTAAGGTTTATGGCCTGTTTACAACGGCATATATTGCGTAATTTTTAGCAATTCCTGTTACCACAAAAAGGCAAAAGGCTATAACGCACAGCTGTCTTTTACAAGAGCAGAACTTTTGCCAACATTATAGCCCTGAATTCCCAACCTTAATGAGACTAAGTAAGGCCCGGTATACGCTATAAAATTTCACTTCTGTGGTCACAGTTGGAATTTTCAAACGTCAAATCTTAAGTTTCAAAGTATCTGGTAGAAATATTTAAGGAAACTTAACACTAAGTTAGTTCATTGTGCATGATACTCGCTGCAAAACATTTAGAACTTTGGGATTTACCAATGCAAATTTTCAACAGGAACTTTGATAGTATTAGTGTAAACCAGGCCTTAGGCAGTAGAAATATACACAGAAAACAAACCAACCACTTGGTGACATTGGTCCAAGGCAGCCATATCGCCCATATATCTTTGCGCTTCGGCCAAAAATTTCTGTTCTGCGACGGACATCTCAAAAGGCACCGGACTATTTCGCAAGAACTCTCCAGTTTTCTCGCCTTTATCGTCCTTAACCTCAGTCGGTGGATCCGCTACCTTCTCGCCTTCAAAAGGCCACCAAGCCAGTGTCGATGAGCAGGCCAAAGCAATGAAAAATATGGTTCTACAAAGTAAATTTCTAGCCATAGCTCCTTGCCTCTTCGCCCACTGTGTTAAAACTGTTCATATCACATTTTGCTTTGTAATATATTCACATATTTTGTCTTATAATGAGTTCCATTGTTCGCGGCTGTCGTTTTGTGAATTGCGGAATTCTAATTAGAGCTTTAGAATCGTCTTTGTTTCGTGACGGCGCTAATTGGCTTTGCGCGCGCGCGCACGACTGGGGCCGCCAGGGTTTCCACTTTGATGGAAATTTCCATATTTCATGGCAATTTTCATATTTCATGGACATTTTGATATAAAGGCAAGTGAAATTCATCTTGGAGGTAGCTGATATCACGGTTCTGATATGGATAACCATACGCTGTTTTATATAGTCAAATGCTTGTTCTATATGTAAAGTTGCAAGCATGCATGTTTCTTGCTCATTCTTGCTCATTATTCTATATATAGAAACATTAAACAATATAACCATGCTTTGGTTATGATGTCAAATATTTTGATATGGATAACCACGATGTTTTAATGGTCAAATGCTTGTCCTATGTAAAGTTTCCAGCATGCTTGGCGCTTATATACAAACTTTAAACAATATAACCATGCTTTGGTTATGATGTCAAATATTTTGACATGGATAACCACGATGTTTTAATGGTCAAATGCTTGTCGTATGTAAAGATGTAAGCATGTTTGGTGCTTATATACAAACATTAAACAATATACCATACTTTGGTTATCATGTCAAATATTTTGACTGGATAACCACGCTGTTTTAATAGTCAAATGCTTGTCCTATATGTAAAGTTTCCAGCATGTTTCGTGCTCATATACAAACATTAAACATTTGGTAATGAATGTCAAATATTTTGACATGGATAACCTCGACTGAATGACTTGAGAACCTGGAGTAACGACAAATTGATTACGAGATTAAAACAGCGATGTTAGGATATGTCCAGAACGTGTCAAAATCTATCCATGAAGTCCCATGCACACACGACCATGTTTGTCCAGCCGGCCATCTGCAATGACAATTCATTAAAAATAACCCATTGCTGCATGCTTATGACTTTTCTTATATCAGTTGCTTGGTGATGGAGTGTTTATATTTTGTAAAAAATGTGGTCTTGTATAAATTTGCCAGAAATTGAACATTGTAATAAGTCGTGAATTTACACCAAAACATCTTGATATGGTCCAAAGGACATATACATAAGCTTGTTAAAACAGATTCATATATAAGTATACAAAATTAAAGTTATAAGCTGTTGGAGTTATAGAAAACAAACGGCAAAGATGGATTTTCGAACCTACATCCATATTAAAAGGTGTGTTTGATTGTGGTTTTATTATATTATATTGATAATGTCCTAAACATATATAGCTTCCCTCAAAAACATTTCAAAACAAGCTTTAAATTTCAAAAGTTGCTCATGCAAGCTGGTCGCCTAGCGTTCGCTAAATACATGACAAAAACTTAGAGAACCTAAGGGTGTTTTATTAAAAAACTCTGAACAAAGTAAACCTTCTTTCCCACATTTATTTTACGAGCTATATATAATCTGAAGTCATGGCCAATATTCGCCGTAAATTACTTGTTGTCGTTGAAGAAATGAAATAAATCTGACAAATAGATTCAGTGCATTCAGATATTTGCGAGTATTGTGTTTTTTTGATGACTTATAGCTATATGTTTTGCCCGAAGTATAATTGAAAAATCCAACACAATTGCTCCTACTGTGTGTGAACACAAATGTACGAATATATATGCACCCCTCCCAATGGGCCATTTACCTATTAAACTAAGTGCTTAACTAGAACTAATTCATCGGTTTTAAGATGCACAGTTGGAAAGAGCATCACATGCATGCAGAGTTAGCGAAATCGATAAACTTGGTTGGGATATATGAAAAAATACGAAAAATATAGTATAAATTTTGTTCTTTTTAAGTATAATTTATACAAAATTGGTCATATAGTAATTGGAATTACCATTATTTAACCCTTTACAATATTTCAAAAACCTTCCAATTCTAACTGAATATTTATCAGTGCATGCAGCTGGAAAACGCATCCTATCCTTTATTTTTGGCTGAGTTGCTATGGGGCCTTAAAAAAATGTGCGTTAACTTAACGCAAAGCGCAAACTGCTTTTTTGCAGTGATAAATGAATCTATTAGTCTTTATATATGCAGGGATAAAAAACTATGAAAAATGATGATGAATAAATCTTCCGAAACAAGTGAAACAAGTGTTTATATATATATATATATATATATATATATATATATATATATATATATATATATATATATATATATATATATATATAAAAGGAGGACAACGCTATAGCCGATTGAAGATATACGAAATGTCAAATGCTTTTCAGTTTCTACCATGCATGAGTTCTATCGACTCTTCAGATATTTATATGATTTTTAAATGCTTATAGCTACAGAACTATAGGCAAACTTTCCAGTGATTCAAGGGAAAAAAGATTAGTTCTCAATAATGCCTGATAGTAATATTGAACATGTAGTTGCAAGCCAGCAGGGGCCGGTTGTACGAAAGCTGGATAGCGCTATCCACCGGATAGTGATTTTTCATCCGTTCTAAAAATGCTCGAAAAGCGATAAAATTTCATCTTTGGATGTCGGAACCAACAAATATTAATGAGGATCCTCCATTTAGGAATACGCGAAGATTTGATCAAAGTCATAGCAAACAACAGGCGATTTTAAAGCACTAAAAAAACACTATCCGGTGGATACCGCTATCCGGGTTTCATACAACGACCGGCCCCATGCAAGTAATATAGTGAGTGTAAATTACTTCACATGAGCTGTAAGGGGTGTACCCATGCACATATATTAGCAAGTGATTGTTGATTAGTTCGTCAAACTACGCCAGACATGAAAGCACACATATTTATTGAAAGCTTCCTCCAATGCTACTGACTAAACTACCAAGCCTATATAGCTTCAATTCCATATAGCCGTAGGCTACACCTGCACATTTAACACGAAATTGAGGTTGCGTGCGACAAGGCTAAGTTATTTTTATGTCATAACTCGCAGTAAGTTATCTGTCTCTAAGTCTTTTTTAAATTAATCAGGTTTTCGATTTAACGTCAGATTATTGGCAATAAATTAAAACAATAATACGCAATTTGGAAAACCAAATTTCAGCCGGTTGTCAAAACTAACATGCAAAAACGGAAGACTTGCCGAGTACATGAACTTCGCTGGCATTTCACCGTTGTTTTCCCAAATCCACTATATATTTTTGAGATTTTTTACGTATTTAACTCATTCTATTTCTCGAAATTTCCTTAAATTTGACTAAATCAAACACACTTATCGCGGTCGTAAATTATTAAAAAGTGAATTCAAATAGGCGTAGATTGCCATCGTAACGAAACTAAACAACACGTTTGTCTTATTTAAGTTCCACTTCCGTATGTGTCAAGACAGATGTTTGTTTTTGAAGCTAAAGAGCAGAAAAACATTTTCAAACTTGTATTTTGAACGCGTCTCAAATTTATTGGAGGGAAATAAACCATATAGTGCTTTAACACCGTTTTTCAAGGTAGGATTGAAAGTAATTCTCGTATAGCTATATCAAGCAAGCATAAAGTTAAGGGGCACAATTTTTTTCGAAACTTTTTAATATACATACTAGAGCACTAATATAACTAACTGCCAAATTCTATAAATCTATAGATTCGATATCGTTCACTAGACTCTTTCTAGTGATTAAGATTCTCTGTAGACATGTACACGCGCGTGAACTACATATTTATGGATATGATCCGTGATATTATACTATGCGTTTCAGAGTGTGTAGCCCTTGAGAGCAATTGTGCCCAGTATGACTGCATCCATGTACGTTTTATATCAGTGACGATGCAATACATTCAATAGACTATTCCTATATATTTAAATTTACATATAGTTTCACTGTTTCAATTCGTCTACATACAACACGTGCTAGTAATTTTGGCAAGTAATAGACAATGAGACAAAGAGATATAAGAAAATTATAGAAGTATTACGATCTTATTGATTCAATTAAATTCGACACGACGTTAAATTTTCATTATTGTGCTAACAAAAATGTTTGGAAAACACTTCGGTTGCCGGAAATGTAGAATTTGCTGCCACAGGTGTTTTCTTTGTGAAATTTTCATTTGTGTTTTACACACGAAACCGATAAAAATAATATCAAATGGTATAGATAGTAGAACAAGTTTCTATCTTCTGAATAACATCATTTGCAAATATTTTCAGTGATAAATGTATTTTAAAGCTTATTGCCAAAAGCGTCAAGAAATTTTAACTTATTCTTTTTCTAGTGGAAACACAAAAACTGATCCAAATTAAGGAACACTGGAACATTCGTGAAGGGTCACTTATGGATAGCTATGACTTATTTCGTTTTATCCTTCAACTTCTTTTTATAATCCTAATCGTCCTTGGCAGTCTACTAATACTCTGGGTAATCCACGTCACAAAACAGTACCAGACCCCAAGCGGTTTGCTCATTGGTAACCTGGCCTTGACAGACTTGCTGGTTGGCGGCTTCGTACTGCCATTCGGAATACCGGCAATTTATTTCGGCAATTGGGCGAGCGGACGAAAATTATGCGTTTTGTGCGCATATGCCAACCACCTTTTATCAAGTGTTGCTATCTTAACGCTGATGGCAATATCGTTTGATCGATATGTAGCAATTATCCATGCTATCCGATATCATCAGTTAATGACCTTGAGAAGGATTGCGTTGATTATAATTATAGTATGGATAATGGGGATTATATCCGCTATATTACCCTTGCTTGGTTGGGGCAGGTTTATATACCAACATGGGGCGTCGCTTTGCGTAACTGATTTTAAGACGAACAAACCGTTTACGTTTTTTGTGTTTTCTGCCCAATTTGGAGTCCCCTTGAACGCTATATTCATCATATATATTCGAATATTTATGGTTGTTACGAAACAGGCCAAGGCGATTAGGAACAATAGCATTCATCCCACCAATCTAAGCGCAGATGAACCGGCCAATCAGAATGAAGTTCGGCTGACCAATCGAAAGATAGATAAATCAGCGAATCAAAATAGACGTCATGCAACCAGTCAGAATACGGTTCAATTGACGAATTCGGTTGAAGTTCATCTAAGCAAACATGGTGCAGACCTGGCTAATGACAATCCAGAACAGCTAACCAATCAGAGCAAAGATAAATTGACCAATGAAAACACTTCAGATGGAAATCGAATGCAGGGAGAACTTAACTACGGATGTGATACAATCGATAAAAATACAACATACCTACCGATGCAAAAGGTACAGACCAATCAGTCAACTGAATCTCCTGTCAATCAGCAATCTCTTGATCTTTCCACCAATAGGAATAGCCCATTATCCCAAGCAGCCAATCAGAGTGAAGCAGAAGTCTCGACGGCCAATCAAAATGGGACACGAAAGCTAACTAAATCAACAATACCAAGGCGTAAAAGTTTGTTAAACAAAATGAAAATGGAATCGAAAGCCGCTGTAACTATGTTCGTAATCATAGGGGTGTTTGTCCTCAGTATAAGCCCTTTTGCCGTTTATAGTTTGTACTGTCTGCACACAGGCGAAAGCTACGAGACTGCAGATTTTATCACGACGAAAATTGCCTACAGTAATGCCATATTGAACCCACTGGTGTACGGGTTGATGAATAAACTTTACAGGAAAGGAATTTTTCAGATTTTTCATATGATATTCAGATGCAAAAAACGACCTGATGATTTTAAACGAAGGTCTGCCCAAAGTACTTCGTTTTCTAACTAACTTAAACCTAGCAAAAATACGAGACGTTTGTAAATATTGCTATTTGTATGGTGTATAATATCCTTCAGTGCCTTTTGTATTTCACCTCGCTAGCGTTCCTAGTTATATTATGGACGAAATTGCCAAAAATTGATTTTGAAAACAATATTTTGCGAGTTTAAATAAGTTAAGAAAGCGATGTGATGCGAAAATGTTTGTTATATCATATCAATTTAGTGAGGATTGGCTTTTGTTTCCATCTTTTATATCGCAAACGATTTTTGGCCTTTATATATATAATATAAAGTATATTTCGAATGGAAAAGATGAAGGCAAATTTGATACCCTATTTATATATTTCCAATTGACCCAATGGATACATTAGATCAAATTCATACAATTTTTTATTGCGCTACAATATATAGTAATCTAAGATATTGAAATATTGTCTTCGAAAAAATACTCTAAATTCTTATAAAAGTCTCCCCTAAAGTATTTCGGTTGAAAACTTATCGTTGGTAATCCCTTCTCACAAACTTTACTCCGTGAACCATATCACTGCGAATCTTGACCCCAACTCCCTCGCTTTCTCGCACGGTTTGACGGACCGCTGACATGAGATTTTCGGCGCAGCCCACCAATGATTCCGTTGCCTCTTGGTCAGCGGCTTCGTCTAAAAGGAAAAAAGATAATTTAGCTTGGGATAATGATGGTCCTAACTCCACTCTAAGGGTAATAACAAAATATAACCCTCCGTTACTAACCATCGGCTCCAATCATAGTAGCTTTTACCGTGGCGACAATCTTCAATTGAGTACTAATGGTTGGTATCCTGTCAATAACTGTCAGTAAATTCTTCTTCATTGATTTATCTGTGCATTTGTTCGCCATGGCGCGCGATAGTTTAACTACTTCTTTGCTTTCCTTTGCGATCAGTTTGGCAAGCTCTATCAACTCTTTCTTTGAACCAGCTTTACCATCTTCATCCTCGCTGAAAGATATAAGAACGTACTTCTTGTCAGTAGATATTATCACAAGACAAAGAAGATAGAGTATCAAGTATAAAGTTAGTTTAGTTTAGGTTTTCTCCTGTAGTAACACTGGATCAATAAGAGATGATCCTCACTGGACCTTTAGGAAGAACAGTTTAGAACTGATAGAGTTATCCAGTATAAATAAAGTTAGTTTAGTTTAGGTTTCCTCCTGTAGTAACACTGGATCAATAAGAGATAATTCTTACTGGACCTCTAGGAAGAGCAACTGATAGATCCATTTCCTTAAATATAATCATTTCACATACCTCATGAATCTGGCAATTTTCGCAAACAATACGGCAAGCTTTTTGGCGGCCATAACTAACTCATTCCCTTGTTCCTCCCATCTCACTGTTTCCCTGTGGAGTTGATGTGCTGCCATCTGAAACATAAAAAGTAATAATGACATTGACCTCCGTATATATCTGGGGAAATTAATGGAAGCTGTTCTGAGGTCGTACTGTGTATATCAAGTAAGGTGTTTCTATCATAAGCTGTTTCTAGGGCAGCGTTTCCAAAACATTGTTTTTGGTATTTCGTGCCTTAGGGCGATGTTCCCGGAATGTCGTTCCTAGGACCATGTTCCCAGGAGGTTGTTGTCGTTCCCAGGGCCATCTAAGAGCGCGTACGATCAACACTACGAGTTGTCCCAGAGTATGATTAAATACACGTCCTACTTACCGCAATTCGGTTATCCTCAGGCGGGCGCTGTAGCATTTCAACAACTTGAGCATCCATGGGAACGTCCGTTGGTGGGGGAGGTCGAGGTGGAACTACCACTTCAACTGATGGAGGAGGTGGTCTGGGAGGTGGGGGACATTCCTCTGTAAAATAAATATATTCGCCTTTTATTTGCAAGCACTTTTGCGAGCGCGGCTGGTCGAGTAGGCTCCAGTAGCAAGTAAATTTGATCCCAATATAATATTTTTCTAGTCCTATTTAATTGAAGTACTTTCGGCCATAATTTACGGCAGTAAAATCGTGGGAAATCCGCCTGTTTAATAATTCTTCAACTTGCACTTGCAGCATCCCTTTATCACATCTTTCGTGTTACCTGCGAGGTGCATTTGGCTCACTTGCGGAACGATATCAGGAATCTCAGGCGGAGGAGGAGGGAAGTCTGGTTCGGGCTCGGCCATCGTGTTCTGGGCTACGGCTTGACGAATGCCACTCACTGAATCGTTGATCTAAAATGGGAGGCAAAACAAACCGTCAATCTTGTGATAATAAAGATATTTTTTGACTAAACGGATGTTTTGGGAGAAATAGGGCTTTTACCTTCTGCGCAGAATCGGACAATCTTCTTTGAGCATTCACATCATTTGGGTTAGTAGCGACTGTCTTAGCCACGTTGACAAACGGGGTTATATCTGAACAAAAAATTGGGGCAAAGCCGGAAAAATGTAAGGGAACTACCGTTTAACAGTAGGGAAAAATAACAATACGTTTCTTCACTGGCAGATAGGGAACCAAGGTTAAATCGATAATCATGTTGGGTTAAATTGAATAACTAAAGGAGATTAAATAAACTATAAATCTTTTGACACCTGCCATTATCTTTAAACATGATACAACAAAACTCTTTTAAACATGATACAGCGAGACTCTTTTAAACATGATACAACAACAGTCTTAAAGTGAGTCGCATTCAAAGGAAATTCTCAGAAAAAACTTACTTCCAGATAGATCATCTAGAGGAATGGTCAAAGTCGCGATGTACTGTGGATCCTCGGAATTATCAAGTTCCATTTGAGCTACAGACACGACCCTGTTCGCACGCCTAGCCGCGCTGGAGGTCTTTGAGGCAATTTTCTAAGAAGAAACACAAGTAAAAAATGCAAAGATACAAAGATACTGTTTACAACTACATATCCAGTGCATAATATTCAATTTGACTCATTCAACAAAGATGTAAAAGTGTTATTTAATTTTGACTTCAACAACCGTTTAAACTGAACGGGCTTGATACAACCGGCCCCTGGGAAAGATAATTGCTAATTGGACAGCGCTATCCTACGAAAAATGACTTAAAAGAAATACCTGTGGATCCTGGTCTGAAACTGCTGACTTAAGATCAGCCAAATCTTGCTTAATAGCGTCCTCTGTTAACAGAAATAAATGATTTCAAATAAGCAATGCAGCCATTGGCATTGGCATTAGGCCGCCTATGATTTAGCCCATGCACGAACCTGACGCTTCGAGGAATTTCAACCTGTCAGTTCCCTGATCAACAAGGTTGGTTAAGGCGTCTGCACGATCACTCCACTGTTTCTTCATTTCTTTAAAGTGTTCTTGAGCGTTGGGATTGTTCGGATTGTTGAGGAGAACCCTGGCTGCGTGCGCAACTTGTGGGGTGAGATTGCGAATCTAAAAGGCAGGAATACATTAAGGCCCGTGATGAAAATAAATCTAATGCATTTGTTGATCATGCTAGACAAAAAAACCGCGAAATACTGTCACTGCATGAAATATATACTGAGCTCGAGACTTCAGCACGGAGTAGTTTACATTTTTGGCAAGATTTCATCTCCCATTTTGTTTTAAGTCAGTCAGTTATAGAATACTTGATTCTACTCATTCCAGTTTAGTCCAACCACCGGTAAAACAAAATCCAACAAAAAACTAGAAAGAGCTATAGCTTTTTTGAATCAATGAAAAAGCGAAATTAGATTTCAGGTTGCGAAATGTAGTAAAATGTTGAAACTTAGTCCTAGAAGCTGTAGAAATTTCGCATATTTCCGATTAAGCGCGGTAAAATCACCATTTTCGAGCCGAAAGTGTTTTTTTGGCCGACGCTATCAATCCAAAGTCATGTGTTTAGCCCACCTCCTGTCCTGTGGCGTTAATTTGATCTAGCAATTGTTTGTCGGCGGTTGAAGCTCCAAAATTTGCCACGAGACTTGCTGTTTCGGCGAGTCTCTGACCGTGTTCGACGAAATTCGATGCTTTGTTTGAGAAGTCAGCATCACGATTCGGAGTGCCTGAGAAACGAAACACATCGGTCATTAATATTTGAAACGATTCAGATTGAAGTTTAGAACTGATAGAGCTATTCAGTAATAAATAAAGTTAGTTTAGTTTAGGTTTCCTCCTGTAGTAACATTAGATCAATAAGAGATGATCCTTACTGGACCTCTAGGAAGAACAGTTTAGAACTGATAGAGTTATCCAGTATAAATAAAGTTAGTTTAGTTTAGGTTTCCTCCTAAAGTAACACTGGGTCAATAAGGGATGATCCTTTCTGGACTTCTAGTAAGAACAGTTTAGAACTAATAAATCTATCCAGTGAAAATGAACGTATTAGGAATATAATGTAACGTATATACCTAATGGTGCTTTGGCAGCTCTCTCGAGTTGTTTCAAAGGTCCCTGAACATCCATGAAATCATCCCCGACACGTCCTGCAACAGCTCGTTGTAAAGCTCGTTCCAGGTCTCCAAGTTTTCCTTCAAGTTGACGCGCGATCTCTTGAGCCTCTGGAGAATTACCCTTGAACAAACGAAATAGAGAATATACGTGTGCTGTTCTTTGATCAATCTCGGGAAAAAAACATATCTTAAGCATCCAGTATCTGTTATATATATATGAAGCTTGCCTACCTTTCCTTGTCTCTTGAGGTCAGCGAGTTTCTTAGAAAGACGTTCAACATCGTCAGCAAGGTCCAGAATCTCCTCTCTTTCAGGACCGGATAAATTTTTCGCGAAATTTCTGGCGTCTTCAACACACTGAGCGATTGCTTGCTGAGCTGCAGTAAAATAATACATAGCGTCAAAATTAGCGAACACGAAAACTGTCTTTACTACGTGAGGTATTGTATTTCCGGGCATAATTTGTTTTGTCGGTTTTACCACAGGCTTTAAGCAATCGGTGAGGGTTGTTTTCCTGATTGGACACAAGCCTCGAGAAAGACCCCACGAGAAACCTACCCAAACCAGAAGGGTCTCCAGCAGGATTCTGCAACCATTCTTGAACTTGGTCTCGTTTGCCAGCGAATGTGATGTTAGGTTTCTTCCCTCCAGTGATAGCTTGATGTTGAATGGCGTCGTCGATATCGTTCTGTAGCGCACCCAGCTTCTCTCTGATCTGCTGTGCCAACCTCTGGGCCTCGGGGCTTGTACCCTGGGAAAAGAAAGAATACAATACGACGTTTCCAGCTATTGTGCTCTCGTACTGATGACGTATTACACAAGTAGTCCGCCATCTTGGATCGCAAGAGTGAAGAGTCTTTCACTGAATCGATTGCTCCAAAACCTTACAGCTTTGAAAGTCGTTACTTGCTACCATAACTACAACTATGACGTATATAAAAAATATATGAAATATATATTTTCAAGTATTCTTACCAAAACAAGTTCAGACAGACATACCTTTCCTTGCCTCCTCAATGCTGCGAGATCGTCGAGTAATTTATCAAGTTCATTACAAACTTTCTCTATGCGCGATTTCTCAGGATCTGAGGCCGAAGCGGCGGCCCGACGACCCTGGTTGATGATGTTCCTTACAGCAGATTCACCTGAACAAAATATAATCAGTTGCATTAGCGAGAACTAGGCGGGTTAATACAAAAGACCAATTTGAAAGCTCGTTACGAATGTCTTCATCAAACCGTAAAGCTTCCGTTAGATGATTCTATTTAGATCAATGCACTAAAAGCAAGCTTGGGACTCTTTTGCAACGGATTGAAACGAGATTTAATGCTGGATCTTACCTAAGCCACCTGCGTCAGCGTTTGGATCGTTTAACCAAGAATTAGCGAGATCCATTTTGTTGTTAATGATTGAAGCAGCTTTTCTCATGTCATTTATGGGATCATCTCCTTCGTCCTCGTCATATGTCGTCAGTTGTAAGACACGAATGATCTCTTCAATGTCAGCGAACATCTTCTCGATGATGTAATTACGATTGCCTTGGGCTTCAGCGCGACCGGGAGAACCTATAAAACAAAAGATTCGGTCAGTTAGGTCGCTTCATAACTCTATTTCAGCTAATGGTTTCCAGACTGCTAAACTCAGGGGTCCCTATTTCCTATTAGGCCCCAAGGAAAGGGCGTGGTGGCGTCTAAAAACCTGGTTTGTCGTTCGGACACCCATCGTCTGCATCGACTATGTTTACCTGCTCCAGTTGTAACAAAAGTCTTGATGGACGAAATTAATAATGGGATCATCTTCTTCACGCTTGCCACCCGCTGGTCTAAAATATCGGCATGCGCAACATGGGTCAATTCCTTGGCGCGTGCTTCCACTTGCTTCGCCATGTTGGTCACTCCTGGCGTGAGATTTTTCACAAATGTTATCAGATCTTCCATGCGCTCGACGACTTCGGCAACCTGATATAAAAAACGAAGTAATTCATGAATCAATCCATGCACCCATAATAAAATTGAAATTGGTCTTGCACAGAGCCCAGGCCACGCCCCCTCCCCCCACCAACGTTTTCCTCAGAAACATAAAACTCTCTCAAAAAGTCATAAAACTCTGAACGTGGTTTGTAGTTGGCAGTAAATTTACAAGGGAAACGGCAATATTACACTATTTCGATTCTTTTTAGTTTCTAAAACCGTACCTGGAGGTATTTGATAACTCCACGACACACGGCGACGATCTTACGAACCTCGCCTTCGTCAAACGTCAGCAGCATTGCCGATGTTCCAGATAATATACCTTTGCAATATCAAAAGATTTAGTCAAGTTTAATCAAGATTTTCTTCTTCTCTCCCTATTTCGGCGCTCTGATGTCCACAGGGCCGGGTATATTGAGGGTGGTACACCCCAAAATTTCAAAAATTTAATCAGTAATTTATAAATGTGTCGAGTTTGGCAGCAAAATATCGTTAAATGAAGCAGAAATGGCCTAACAAAATTTACACAGTTTGGGATGCATTCCTGTCCTTTCCACTTACGCGTTTTTCACGCGCAAAAACCTTAAATGCTTCAAAATTGTTATTATTTCACAAATGGGTCAACAAATGCATAGTTCTTTCGATTTATTCGCCTAGCTTTTTCAAATATGACATACACAAGGATTTAGACTTTTACGTGCGTGTACCTGCGTAAGAAAAACGCGTAAATGAAAAGCAGCCGTTGGTAAAATTGTGTTTACGCGCGCTGAGACTTTTTTCTGGGAAATGACATCAATTTCCGGCGGAAGTGAATCAATTTACCGCGTGTAATTTCCCGCGGAAATTATAGGCTGTTTTTTTCATACGCAAACTTTGCGTGTGTTTCAATTTTGTGCTGCTCTTTCAAACGGTTAAAATGTATTTTTTCAGTTTTATTTCGATACGAAAATTAGTTTACAATACATTGGGACCGATGGCCAGGAAATTTCAGCATTTGAACTGGTAAATACGAAAGTATTCATAAAAGAAACTGAACCAAAGCAAAATTTAGGTAAGTCGCACATTTAGCTAAATGATACATGCTATAAATATTTCTAGTTTGTGTATTGTTCTTTTTTAAGTATTCCGAAATCCGAACCACAATGTGGCCAAACTATTTAGCCAATTTCGAAACGATTTATAAAAGTTTCAATTTTTCCTGACATTTTGAAATAAAACTAGTAGCCCACAAATTTTTGCCACAAGCGAGTTTTAGTCTAAACTACTGAGCTTATTTGAAATTGTATAAATAGCTCCTATTCTGAGGTAGCAGAAACTGAAACATACTGCTTGGACAATATACTATCTTTGTAAGACTAAAATACATGTCAACTTTGTGATTAAACTTTGTCTGAACTTCTGAGCAATTTGCCAGGTGCCATCTTAGAGGAACATCACAAAAGTCTTATCCCTCCTCAACCTCCTTACCTCTAGCTCCATCCAGTAACTTTTTTCTTCCCTCTGGTGAAGTTGGGTCATTCTTAAATATCTGTGTTGCACCAACTAGCAATGATGAAGACTCTTCCACCCTTGTGAAGGCAAGAGGCATTTCTTGCTTCAAAATCTGATCTTTACTGTCCTCCATTGTTTGTTTCCCAACCTTGAAAAGTAAATTAAACAATGAAAAAAAGATTACCTTGATATCATAGCAGAAAATTCAAACTCCAAGATCCAACTTCAGTTGGCAAACATGCATTTTAGTCTTCCACATGTAATACCACAAAACTATCTGCTAGAATTGCTTTTCAGCTGGTTGATATCCTAGATATTGGCCAACTTCAGTGCCTAGCTTTGTCCAGACAGTTCACTCATTAGCAGTTGGATAATGTCACCATTATGCACAGGTAAACACCAGACAGATACTGTGCAGTGCAAAAGTTCAAATGTTTGTGGTATTGAATCAAAACTACGTACCATGACAAGATTTTGAACTGCGGCGCTAACTGCTTGGACAGGACCTGACAGATCTGGCATTGCCAGGCCACCCTCGGTTTCTTCATGAAGAATAACAAGCTGAGAAACCTGCAAATATTTAACAAAAAATTTAGTAGATGCTTTCTGCCCTAATATGTGCATACATATTGCTAATCCAATGTTCAAAATAAGAAATTTACTTTGGTTGATTGAGACCATTGTTATATTGGCTTTGAATATGCATTGTTTGTTTACAGAAATTAGAAAACACTTGTGTTAAATCCTTTTATTTTGTCCTATGCATTTCATTTCATTGCAGTAATATCTGTCTGATAAATAAATAAGTTCTCAAAATCAGATTATGTTGACCAATTCAGGAAATTTCTATTATGTCTATCCCTTAACAAAAATAGAATAAGGCCAACCACCCTTAACCCCTCTTTAGCATGACCAACCCTGAATTTGATCCTCTTAAAATAACTGCCTGCTATTTGGTATATCCTTATATGAAACCTGCCTGACAATACGATATTCTCACAAACGACGATAAGACTAAAATCATCTTCCAAATCACAATTAAACATTATGGAGCAATTATTACTTCAAATGTTATTTGAAGGTACACGATTCAATTATGTTATTATGAATAATTATTCTCAACTAGAACGTTCTAATTGCTACAAAATGCAGCAAATTTCCAGACAATGTATACAACGAATGTACAAAAACATTGACCGTCTGGAAAGGAATATTTTCAAAGTATTCAATCAATACTTTGTGTCAATAATTGATAAATTGGGTTGAACAAAGTTGGATACACATCTGTCAAAATATATTTACACATGGGATGCGCAGTTTTCCCTATTGTAAACGACAGAGCTCCATCGATAGAACCAAACACGTTGCGAAGCGAATTCAAGCGGTATAAAAGCTTTTCTAAGCTGTAAAAGCCAACAGAATTTGCAGAATAGCGAACAGGCAAGACTTCACATAATCACATTTCGTTTCGGGCACATTTTGGCAAAACAGTACGAAATTGTAGACCGAACGAGGTGTAAAATGGTGTATTTGAACTGTTAGAACTGGCACCTTCGTTATATATTCTAGGATGATTCGTACAATGAAGACCCGTAAATAATTAAAAGGAAATTCACTAAAGAAATAAAGACTTTAATATAGTGGGTTTTAATCGCCAATTTGCTATAAAGAACAGGCCGATATACAATGACTGCTCATTTTAAGAGTTTAAAGAATTTCAAACAACTAAACCACGTTCCAATATTATGAACTACAAAAGTAATTTATAATCATATCATAATGAATTTAAAACATATGAAAGATAACGGACAGACATTTCGCCTCTAATCTCTAGAAACAGGCGACATGATTTGCAATGTACCCACTACGGTCATACTGTTGTACAATAGACATAAACATTTGAACGCTCGGTTTATTTATAAGCAAAATTAAACTCACTTGTTGGGCGACTGGCTCCAAGATGGCCTCGATCGTCTTTGTATGAAAAACAGGCATGATGTATCTTACGAATAACTGTCAGCCGAAGAGAAGGTTTATCCTCGGGTTCAAAAGGCAAACGGACGGTGACCAAGTTTTCGAGGGAGGGGAAAAATGACATACGAGATGCTTTAAAATAAACACGGGCGCATACCGGATGTAGAAATGCATACAGGAAGTGAAAAAACGGAAAAGGCTAAAGTATTCGCGCAATATTTGCAAGACTTTTTGCCAAATATGAGTATATGGAGACACGCGATGAAATTTAATCTGACAACAAACAGTTTGAAATATACAAGGAATGATAAATAGTTACACGCTGAGAAATTCAATCGCTTTTCCGAAAAAAATGGGTATATTACGATCAATGGTCATATTGCATAAATACACACATTTAAGGTCATAATTATGCGACGTTGTACACTGTCAAGAACCAGGAAGCTATCCCACTGATATTTATCGTAAAGTTATCGTAAAAAGGTAATATTGACTCATTCATACACGGCAAATAAAAATCCTGCAACCTTGGAATTACCCTAGTAACCATTTTTTTTCTAAGCACAAATTGATGTAGCTTCCAAGCAATTTTAGATAGCTTGTAATCGTATTCAAGAGCATAGGTGTAGAATTACTACACATAGGGACATAAATAAGAATGCTTACATATGTTCCAAAATTCCAAGGTTGCAGTATTTTTATTCACCGTGTATAAATGTTAAATTGACGGGGCGTGACGGAATACCATCGAAAGAGCGTGGCATTATGTCTTGAGGCAATTCTACTTGAATGTTTTGCCAAACCTTCATTGCCGTTTTTTTCGATACAGGGCAACCCAAAATTCTTTACAGTTTTGACTAAAAATATCTTGTCCAAACATGGCTAAAGTTAGGTCAGGTCTCCCAGTGTAAATCAAGCTAGTCCAATCTTCCAGGAATCTCTGTCCGATTTTCCTGGATTGAACTTTGAAGTTGATATAACGAAATGACACACACAATATTATATAAGCAAAAATATCGTGGATTTTCATAGATGATGTTTAATGTTATTACAACTAGCTCAGTTAATCACAATCTACTGGAACAATTTACACTATAAACAGATCTTGTAAAAGTGCGAATGAATAACGATATCAACATTTGAAACGTAGAAGATCTAACTAATAATTCTACTGATAACATTGGGTGAAAACTTCTACAGACTGGTTGTAGTATGGCATGGAATAAGCAAGTTCAAAGGTTCGCTCTGCACATTCAAAATGGCGCAGTGCTGCCAGGGTAAAACTACAATTGAAAACATACGAGTTCTCATCTCCAAGCTGGAAAAGCACATGCAAAAAGTGTGGTCTGTAGAGACTGCTGTGTTTTTCTCAAAAAAAAGGCATTGACGTTGGGCAGTGTTTTGGTCATGACCATAATGAAAAACTTTATGATAATCATCCTTGGCCGGACATATTGCAACTTAACGGCAAGTTTAAAGGCGTGTCTTAGAAGGGGTGGTAAGCAAACCTCGTGTCAATGCCAGTCGAAACTTTTCGAACTTGCCTATTTACCCACATTTTCCTACGAGCTGCAATAAGTTTGAAAACTGTCTTCGAGTGGGATTCTACACGACATTCTGACACTAAAATTTACAGATTTTCAAATATATCTTCACGCTATTTTCCCCAGTTTTATGTCAATTTTAAGACTTGTGTTGGCGTGTACGAACCGTGTAACGAAACAAAGGTGGACTATAGGCGTTGAAATTATCTTCACGAGTTTGGTATATATACAATTAACGCCATTTTAAGCACATGGGTAATTGTTTTCGGGGCCGCGATAGGGATACTTCCCTCGGAAAAAAGCATCCACAAAGGCTTCATTGCATTTTACTTGCCACTTTGGCGTTAATTGCCTATAAAATTTGATAACGCACTTTTCTCCAAAAATTTTTGGCCGATAGCTATAAAAATATAGGCATGATAAAACACAATGAAAGACTGTCGTTCGAGCTTTGTCTGTCAATAAATACTTGTTTTAAGGGATCTTTTCCAAAGTCTGTGGATAAATACCTTCACATTTTCTATTCAATTTCATTGTATTGTCATTTATCAACATACATCATTCAGCATCCTCTTAAGTACAATCTTTCGTGTCCACGGACGATCCTCATTGATATAACTGCATTTATCAATTGTAAGTACAATTTTATTCTCTCCAATGGCCATCGCTACCCAGACTAGAAAGTTTTCCATTGTTTCGGCAAGATCTTTCTCAAATATTAAGATATACCTTTTCCATCCAAACATAACCAAGTTTATCAATGCATATCCTCATTTATCGAGTAATTTCCCTTATAATAAGGGCTTTCCACGTTTGTCAACAGATATTTCGAATTATCAATATACATCCAGGTTCATAAAATATCCTCCAATGTCCTGCTTGTCCATCCAACAATACATAACATATATCCAAAGATGACACTATATATCCATTACTGCCACTGTACAGCCCATTATCCAAAGATGACCCTATCTACTACACGATACCCTCGGTGTAAAGCTAGCGGTGACTAGCCCCTACATACCACCCTCCCGATTTCCGGCGTGGTGAATTGGAAATGTGCCGTGAGGCGGGTACATCTGAGGCGGCATGTTCGTTGGAAAAAACTGTTGCGGCGCTGGTTGCAAATGTCCTGGAAACTGGTATTGGCCTTGACCTAACATTCCTGGGAGGAACTTATTCCCCGTATAATATAGTCCAGGTTGCTGCGAGTAAGCCGCATAAGGATTAGCAGGCTGCATTGGTAGACGTGGATGAAAGAAGCGTTCATCTTTCGACGGCGCTGTGAGACTATCTATTGAAAACTTGGAAGGATGGTGTGACGTACTTGAGTCTCCCATTGGCCCGGGGTTAGGGGGCATCCCCATTGGCGAGTTCCCCGCCCCTAGAAACGGGCTTTTATTAGGCGGGGGTCCGAGAGGTGAGACGTTACGAGTGAGATTTAACGAGTTCGGCCTCTGCGGTAGCAGGTCATGTCTGGTCGGACCAGGGTAACCAGGCATCCTCGAATCCATATTAAAGCCAGTTAGAAGTCCTTTATCAACCTGTAAATCAGGTTTATCGAGATTCGGCGACTGTCGGGCCAGTTTCAAGCCCGCATCACGAATGTTTTGTTGTGCGATGTGACTCTGCGCCGAGTACCCGGACGTCGGTACACCCGGGGAAAACGGCGATCGCTGTCCGTCTTTTGGAGATGCGAGCGAGGTGGGAAGTCTAGGGGTAAGTGGGGCATGGGGAGTTTGGGGTGAATTCGTGTTCGTAGGTGATGGTGCACCTACAGAACTTGCACCAGGGAGGGTGTTCAACTCGGACGGTCGCGCCGAAGGGTAGGGAGGTGGGCTTCGGATGCTCGAACCAAGAGGCGATGATGAGGAAATGCTTGACCCGGGGGAGAGGACGGGTAATTGAGGTACTGCTTGTTGCGGTGCAGGTTGGGTGGGGGGAGCTTGTGAGGGTGGTTGCTGTGGGGCTTGCTGCGGTGCTGGTTGTGGCTGGTCATTTGGCAACAGTGATGCGTCTTGATCTTGTTCTGGTGGGTGTGGTATCTGGTTGTTCGTCGGGTTGCGATGATTGTTGACCGGCCTTGTGGTCATCTTGCGGTCGCGCCTGCTGTTGTGGCATTTGATCGGCTTGTGAGCGCGGCTGCCCTTGGGTTTCACCTTGTTGCAACTGTTGCTGTTGCGTAGCAAAATTCGGCGGCGGCGGTGGCGGCTGCTGGAACCTGAACCGCTCCTGGTGGTTATTCATGAACATTTGCTGCTGTCCAAAACCTGGTGGCATGTGACCGGGATACCCACCGCCAAATGGTGGCCTTACACCCCCCTGCTCCTCCATGCCACGTCGAGCACCGCCGGGGGGGAACATACCTTTCGTTCCATTACTAGGACCGAATAGCATCTGCTGTAGATCATCTACTCCGCCCATACTGTTCCTGGGCTCTAATTGCTGCTGCTGTTTCAAATATTGCTGGTAATGTTGCATATTGAAGCCTGGGCGCATGCCCATCGGCGGGCCTGGCGGACGCCCCCCCGGGAACATCGCCTCCACGTTTGGCATGTGTCCCGGGAAGTTTCCATAGCGATAGGGATTGCTAACGCCACCTGAATGATTCATCATGAATTCCTGCGTGTTTCGCTGCAATCTCAGAAAGCGTTGGTTTTGAGGTTGAGCCATGTGGTAAGAGACAATGGAAGGAACTCTGCCTTGAATCACGGCCTCGGCTGCCCGATTTGCCAGCTCAGTTGAGAACATGAATATACGGTTGGGAGGAGGCAATAGCGTCATTGGTAACGCGGGTTTTTTGCGTTGTTTTGGCCTTTTTGGTCCATCGGAGCTGTCGGAATCTGCAATCAGAAAACATTTAATGGTTATGTACATGTCGCCGAGGATATACCAAACAGGACAGGGTAACCTGGTACCCAGGTCTGCTCCAAAACTTAGGAACGCGTGCTCGGAACGTGAACGCAAAAATTAGGAACAGTGACGTGAAAAAACCCGCAAATTAGAGAACCAAGTTGGTGTTTATCACTGATAAATTTATACAAACAATTTATAACACTTTGCAACCTAACATTGCAGTTTTATACTTTTAAAACGCTTTTTCTACCTGGTTTTAGAGTGCATTATTTTTGCTCAGATTAAAATCTAGCTTATCACTGACACCATCAATTTAACAATTTTATTGAACAATCATGGGAGCTCAAGAAGTATATATATGAGCTGATAGCCAATGAGGCTTTTAAAAGCATAAATTATATGAAAATAGCAGGTATTATAATTGCTTAATAATATATCCAAAACTTAACAACATTAACCCCCTCCCTAAAAAAATTCACAGACCAGGCTGTGTCTTACCTATATCCCCAAAATCCTCCTCGTCAGAGAGCACATCTTCCTCCTCCCACCATTCCTTCTTCTTTTTCTTCTCTCGTTCCATTACACAACGTCGTTTTGAACGATATTGATAAAGACTTGGTTCCTCTGAGTTGCTCCCTGGAGATGTCACATACTGACCACCCCCTGGGCTGCTTGTATTCTGGAATAGAATTGATAAATATGAAGATAATATCACAAAATTACACTTTCCATTAGTGAAGGTAAAACTGGAATGACAACTACATGGATGGATGGACATGCAATGTTTTCTTAAAGCTACAATGATTATTTTGGGGTTCATGCTTGGAGTTGCAAACAAGCTGTGTGGGTAGGCAGAGAAATGCAGGGTAAGTGGGTATGTATGGGGGAAATTTCATTATATTTGAGGATAGTTTAATGTAGAATAAACAATCCCATTCACACATTATTGAAATAAAATATTAAGAGCAATGGTATCACACATGACTTATCCTGAGGAAGATCTTCATATAACTTAGAAGGTTGATAGTGGTCTTCATATAGCTTGAATGGTAAATTAAAAACTAGCTAAAAACCTGTATTCATTGTGAGTTGACTGAATGTTTAACCCCTTCCATGACTGAAATCCTAGCCTTTCAACTTACGGTTGATTCCATTTTGTCCTCTTGAAATGCTTGTATATCAATTGCAAAACGTCTTTCTTGCTAAAAAGGATAAAAATTGTTTTGACGTTACACTGCAAACACACTGCAAAATGGAGGAACAGTGAAAATTTATTCCCATGATTAACTCTTTGATTTCCCAATGCACACAAGAAATACTATACAGTCATGAACTCCTTTAAGAGATAAATTATAAGCAATAGTTTACTGCCACAATACAATATTTAGGGCTGCCTCACTTCCTAATTTTTTATTTGGTCCATTTAGTTTGGTGACAAATACTTCAACACGCTTTTGCAACTTGTGAACTTAATTATATGTATTTATGTTTTATTACAACTCTTGGTTTAGAAATTACGCCTGAACTTATTTTTGCATTGGTCTATTTAGTTTCGCACTTTTTGTCACTCCTGATCTTAGTTATGAATTTATATGTCTCATTGAAACTCCTAGTTAAGAAATTATGCCAGGCAGACATTGCATCCAGGTGGGTACTACCACTTTCGGGTTTTACTACCACAAATTATTTGTTTAAAGCCAGATGACTTGGGCAGTAGCAGATGTTGCCACTTTTCTCAAATGTCTTATTTTAACTTTTTATGTGCATACACTTAGAAACGAGATAAGCCCAAAGATATCTGAATAACTACAGCAGTTAAAAATAAGGCAATGGGGTATCTGGGGTGGAGACCCTTTTATATCAATGTCAACCCTACCTTGGAAATTACATTGCCATTGTGTACTTGAGATGTCAAAAGCTTTCATTCCTTGTTGATATGTCTTCTGTAGCAAAGAAGGAAAGCATTAGCAAAGTTGCCGAATTCCTAGGAGATAAAAGGCTCAATTTGTTTTAATACACAGATTATCCTGATTTAAATGTGAATCACGAGGATAATTGTCTGAAACAGTAAACTAAATTGGTCAGGCAACAAAATTCACACCTACTGTACACAAATCTTTATCACTACACATACATGGATATCATAGTGAAAAAAATGACCTCAGTATTGGACTAAATAGCATGCAAACATAGTGTGCATGTGGGTTCATATTGCCAGCTACCTGGGCAACAACTTCAGTTACAAATCCAACTAGTGTTTAACAAATAACAAAGTAAATAATCAGAAAATAGCTTGGAAGAGCCCAGAATTACATTAAACACAAATTATATTTTTCCAGTAAATTCATCAGACATATAGACTCCTTTGCTGTCATTTGGACATGAAAATACCAGCAAGTACAAGCAAGATTCGTGTACATAATTTTCATTGTGAATATTCATTTGGGAAAAATGTTCCCAGTATTGCCAGGCTGTGTTGAAAATTATAGCAATAATCATCTTAATTCCCGAGCAAAGCCCTACCAGAACCAAATACTTTAACATTAGATGAAAGAGATAAACTTTTCATGAGAAACTTTTCAGAACTATATCTGGACATGGGGAGTCAGTAAATGTTACAGTTACAAAAGGCATGTTACAATGATAAATTGTTACAATTCTATATTCCACAACACAACTTCAACTTTAAGGCAAACTGATTTGCATTTAGTACTTCTTAAATACAGAGATACGCCCAACTTTACAACTCGCTAGCGAAGTCAGGCAAATACAAAGCACGGACGACAATCTGATGGAAAGTTTCAAAACTTGAAGACAGCTTTTAGGCAGAAGCAATAAATGAAATAGTCCTACATTCTATACAACACCGCCCACACTAAATGACATAAAAATCAAGAATTTTAAGTGTAAACACGTTGTACAATCAAATCTAATTCGGGTTTATGGAATTTCGCATAGCGAAAGCGCCGAGTCGTGTCTTTAATGAAACATTTCGAGGTTACGTTGGACGTATGTACTACACAAAATATCCAATACGCAGATCGTAATATCTTCGAGAACAAACCCTAAGTTTATCCGGAAATTGTCGTAAATATAAGACCATGTTAAATCGAGTTTAACAAATTTTCGTGACAGTTTGCAAGGAAATTGTACACGTATACTGTTGTACAGGCTCTGCTTTGCAATGGGAAACAAATCTAGCGAGAACTTCACAATACAAAATACACTAGTGGCTAGTTCGAGCCAAAATTGTTGTTTAAATTTAGAAACGTATAACACATGCTTTGAATTGTGTAGTTTAAACAGTAAACGAAGTTAACCTAAACTTCCTTTAGACTTTTGTTTGCAAACAAATATATTATAAAATACGTTTGCCTACGCGGCTAATTCTCCCATGTCGTTTTACAACCTCGAAATTTTTGCGCGATATTCTGGTCAAGCGAATGCATATAATGAAAAAACCTCTCGATTCGGGATTCAAAATTAGGACTTTCCACGAGAAAGCAATTTCAAACAAGTTGTATCTTAGTACGAAGCTGTGTAACGATGTTTCATTCAGTTTACACTAGACTAGGTGAGCAAGTCGCTTCGAGCGTGTTCGACTCACAATGCATATTCATGCGAATTCATAATGGCGGGCAACTAAAATCGTAATTGTGGTCACAAACATTCAACGTAAGAGTTCAAAACCACGATAAAACGGAGAATTCTTCGAGAGCCTAGAAAATACTGCAAGCCCTACCCTCTTTCCAGCTAAAATATCGCGAAATACGCCTCGCAGAGCGAACGCTTACGGGCGACACGCTTGCAAGGTTTGTGTCATATATAATACAACATGCACTCGACTTACGTTCAAAAATTTCCCCTTCGAAGCGAACTTTAACTCATCGACACGAGTTGTTTACGAAATCTCCTTGCCTTCGAGCTTGCTTGCTTTACGATCTTTTTCCTAGAGCAATGAATAAACGTAATTTTCCTGGCCTGAACAGACTCCTTCCGCATCCAGTAAGTCTATACGGCCATGTTGTATAAAAGCTTATAAAAAGTATACTTTATAAGCCAACCCAAGCTAGTTACGGTTCATGAAATATTGACAATTCTTTTGTTCCCCAAACATGTGATCTCTCGCAATTATAATATTCATATTCTATACACAAAAACACCCGTAGGCCAGCAAAAATATCTCCTTAACTATTGTTTGTTTAGAAATAGTAGAGTCGAATTGTAAATTGCATGTTGGTATTTATATAAAATTAGGCAAGCAGACATATTTCGGGGCAATTTCCTCGCTTGGTGTGTAAAAATAGTAACGTAAAGACTTGCCTGTTTTATCTCAATGCAGTTGATTTCATGGATATTAAAGTTCAGAACATAATTTACACGTCTATTTCCATCTGTTTTGCACCAAAAACATGGCGGTCAAAAAATTATAATCGTGAAAATAATTTAGACTCGATTTCGCGTGTTCCCTGCGTTGAAATGCCCGCGTGGCAGTTTCCACGAATCCCGCGTTGCGTGATCCGTTTTAGCGTGCTCACGCTCACGATAACTGCCACTCTCCTTGTATTTTTATGCAGTAAAATCATATCACCAGTAAATCAGGCAGTAATGATTTTTTTCAAGAAGTTCGTTACGGATAACTCAATTAGTTCTAAGCATTTTTTTCTAGAGGTCCAGTCATCTGTTATTTACTTAGTAAAGAATTTTTAGTGCACTGGAAGAAACCTGATCTAATTAATGGGATAATGGACAGCTCAACCAAAACTTCAACCAAAACTATTGGAGGTCCAGTAAGCATCACCCAGTGTTACTACACGAGGAAACCTAAACTAAACTAACTTTATTTATACTGGATAACTCTATCAGTTCTAAACTGTTCTTCCTAGAGGTCCAGATTTCCAGTGAGGATCATTTCTTCTTATTGATCCAGTGTTACTACAGGAGGAACCATAAACGAAACTACTTATACTGGATAGTTCCGATAAAAATTAACTCTATTAAATCGAATTGACGACTGCAATTTCCTCGCGGGGTGTGTAAAAATAGCTCTATTAAATCGACTGCAAATAGAAAAATTCAAATAGAAGGAAAGAGAAAGACTTGCAAATCAGTATTCACTTTGACTACATGTATGTGAGAAATATTTACATCGCGTTAACAAATAGACTAATATTCTATCATTTCTTTTTAGTACCTGCCATGAACGGCAGTTTTTCGCTATAATCTGTTGGATTGTTTAGAAAGTCGACGTTGAATAATAAATCACTTAACGTTTGCTCGGTAAAAAGCTGTTCGGGCATTTCAGATATCTAAAAAAAGAAAGTGAGACGCCGCAATAAATTCGCCATAATAAAAAAAATGGCGGCATGACGAATTACAATCAATTACGAGCACAGATTTTAAAATGCTCGCTATGTCACATCAATTTACGAGTTTTGTTCTCCACATGCTGTCCAGTATTTTTATCAACAAAGACGGTAATTCTCTGCAAGCGGAAAGATGGCGGCATATCCATATCAACATGCTCTTTTGCAAAACGAAAATTTCGTATTTCCATTAACAAACAGTTTACCTTGTAGACACAAAAGTTCAGCAAAAGTTAGCCAATTTTAACATCAATTAATGTGACATATTAAACACTTAGCATTGCTATCGTAACCGATATTCGCCAAGAATCCACTTTTCCATTGACATGCCGCCATCTTTTTTTATTATGGCGAATATTGAGAAAAAGCCACCGCGAAAAGAAGATAGCAAATTTGCACCTGTGCCGCTTTTTAGGGGGGTGCATCGTACACCGTTATCGAAGCATTTTGTTATTTAGAAAGTCGGCGTCATGGGTTCGTTTAACTTTAATTTGTGTGTTTGTAAAAAATGTGAAGGGAAGCGCATTGATTTACGGCAGTTGAAGCTACCGCCACCGGAAATTACAAATTTGAAATCGCAGGATAGCGGCGAATTAGAATGTTTTCAGAACATATCCTTACCGGCTTGAAATCTACATCTTGCGGAGGGAACTTGAAATCCGGACCAAAGTTAACGGAGACCTGTCAACGTTAAAATTACTTGAATTCAGCCCCATTTCTCTTGGCAGATGGGAAACTGACAATAGTTGAAAGTTAGCTACTATTTTATGCAACCTGCCACTGTTTCCGTTAGAGAACCGCAATTGCTTACCGTAGCATTCTTATACAGAGAGACTGCCGGGTAGTACGTCCCAGCAAATATATTCTGCACTGCCACACCCTAAAAATAGCACCATTTATTTCGGCAAATGTTCTACTCTGGTTAAACCTAAAGGGGCTTTCATTATTAGGAATTCAAAGTTTTTGTTCAGGTAAAGTTTATATCGTGTACCCCCTCTAGCCACAGCTCGACATTTACCTTCGATTTTCCATTCTGATAATACACAATCTTCAAACAAAACAAAGTACGTGGTTTGAAAACAATTTTACAATTCGGATGCAAATTTCATCAAATAGGAAATATATTTTATGTATGTACGTATGTACCTTACTGCCTTCCAGAGGGGTCAACTCCTAAAATGAAGACATTCGTTTACACACTGGCGAGAGTTCAGAGAGGAGGATTCAGCATAATCTAGTAAACAAGGGGGAATTTCGTTTCAAACTAAGCGCCATATTTGTTTACCTTTTTTCAGGTAAAGCCAATCAGAATGCCTAAATTTTTAACACTTCATGTAAAATGGTATATATTGTACTTTATATCAAAATTTATGCATTCTGATGGCTTACTGAAAATGTAAACAAACTCGCTGATTGGTCTAAAACGAAATTCTCCCTTGTTAATCTAGTACGCAAGGTGCTGAATAGACGACTCCATAAACCAAGAAAACAGTTTGGAAATTTATAGAGCTATCCAATAAAATCAAACAAAACTGACCTTTTCTGATTGGTCAACGCGGTCTTTTTCCTCATAGTACAGAAAACTTTTGAATTTGATTAATGCCTGCAGAAAATAAACGAAAAAAATGACACCGGAATGACAAACATTTTCGACGAAAAGTTTCACAGTCACGATTCATGTACGTAGTCCTTACATTTCCTTTGTAGGTTGGGGGAAGAATCTTGGCTGGAAAAATAGAATTGAAATAATATAATAATAAGTGATGTATCCTTGAAATAATATTCATATTATATTTATATGGCAAGCCAGTCCCAAGGGGCAAATCAGACAAAATGGAGGATTTTGATTGGCTCTACGGTCGGTAAACAATATATATGGACCGCTCGGTTTTGGCGAGAAAATTCAATTCTAAATTTCTACATATTCTTATACACGTTAAAAATACTGTTTTGCGAAACTAAAATTTAAAGTTTGAGATCTTTTGGAGCAATGAAAAATTACAGTGCCGTACCAGCTGGTCGATTGTTTTCAGGAAGACAGATAAAGATTCCAATTACATCGCCCGTTGAATATCCATCGCTGAAAACAATAAATTGATATAGCTACAATAATGATCTCTTTCGTGGACATAAACTTCAATCAGTAACTACATTGCCAGCTAATGGGTTAACAAGAGACACTAACAAGTTGAGTAGGAAGTAAAAGTTTGAATAAAACTTTACCAAGTGCTCAGTAAGTACTAAAGTGGTTGGAAAAGTGTTTATAGTCCCAATGGTTGAAATTTAAGGCCGTTTTCCACTTCAACCGTATCGTAGGCTGTAGCGAAACGTAGCGTATTTAAAGTCATTAGTTCTGGTGGAATACTTCGGAAACAAAGAAATACGCTACGTTATAATACGATTGAAGTGGAAAACAGGCCTTCATTTCATGCACGGTACTGCATAAACAGAACTAAAAACTAACAAAAACTAACGAAAACTAAAAGTGACCTCCAGGCACCGAATAAAACAGTGAAAAACAGTAGATACGTTGTTACAACAGGTATCAGTAGCCGGCACTAATTAAGTCAGACTGGTTGCATGAGTTCGTACCACATTGGTGAAATAGAATGAGCCCTATCCTGTGACTTTTCCTGTACATATTGCCTCAATTTTATCAATCGTTGTCAAGTTTCAAGCTATAAAACACACCACAATACCTGTAATGTTTTCCTCGACTCTGATGAAACACAGTTCCTTTCTTACTTCTAATGCTGTAACCAAATTTATCATATCCTAATGGTGCTTGGAGATTACCTAGCGTGCAAACATAATGGTTTATGTATGGTTTTTACAGACATACAACACTTCTCGTCCTTCAATAATGTTAGCCGGTGGTTCTAATGGTATAATTGAATATGCCTGTCTTGAGATAATCTTTTACTTTTTAAATCATTTGTTAAGATTTGTTTATCTAATCTATTTTGAAGCAGAACTGCTATAAAGCATACCATAAAGTTGAGACCAGCCTATTCTTGATGCTGTTCCTTCAGGCATATCATCCACTGTTACCTAAACATTGAAAATTGAATATTTACAATAATTATATATATATATATATATATATATATATATATATATATATACCTAAAGTGGACGTCAAGTCTGTTCGGCACATCGATTCTACTCAAAATTTCCAATGTTTACATTTGCCATGCTCTGACAAATGCATAAATTTTAAATAGGCTCACCTCAAAAAACCAGTTTCCACGATTAACACCTAAACAGCATATAGAAGTAAAATTTTGTCATTCCGGTTGCTTTGGTAATGCAGGAGATAAACTTATGGATATGCCATATATATACTAACCATGTGTTGCCCTGACCATACTGTAGCCCTTCTCACCAGTCACCGAGAGACGATCATCTGAGATTTTCAGCTGAGGTGCTAGGTGGAAATAAAGTGTGTTGAATAAGTGGGTAGTGCAGTTGGTATATAAAGATCAGTGTATGGAATAGGTTGATGATATAGGTGGGTGAAAAGATTGATGTTGCAGTGTTGCACCCACCTATTCCAGTCACCTTTTACCTATTCTACCCACTATTTAACTAATCTCAGGTTAACCCTAGCTAGGTAACATTACCTGGACTTACCCTAGCTGGGTTAAATAGTTGAGAGGGAAGGGTGGGTAAAAGGTGGTAGAATAGTTAGTAGAACATGTGGGTGCAACATCAATCATTTGAGTCTATTGATTAAACCTTATACACTCTCTCACCAGGAATATAGGGGCACTTGCCACCCTACCCTCACCTCTCCATTCCACTTTTAAATTTAGCCAAAATACCTCTATCATGGGAAGCAAGATAAACTTTGTGATGTAAAGCAACTCTGTACAGCTCTCCAGGTATAGGTTTACCAGCCCAAGATTCCAGATCAAAGTTCGACTTGGGAGCATTGGGGTCTTCTTCAGCTAGAATATATCTGTAACCATCCTTTGCAGAAAGAAACACTTATGAACATGATAAAATGGGTTAACTAGGAATTATCATAAATATTTGTGCAGGATATGGAGCAGGATAATTATCCTACATCCAATACCCACCTTATTAAATGGATGTTCCAAAGGATACCCGTGAGGTGGCAGTCTTTGTTGCGCAGGCTCTCTACAATACATAAATAATTGTTACATATTACACTATATCTTTCAGATACACATGCTCACAGGGAGTCACAGTATATTACGAAGATGTGTTTACTCAGTCATGAAAAACTAGTCCTGAAGAAAAGGTTTAAAAAATAATTGATTTCAAATGTATATATGTCTAAAATCTCAATATGATTGTTACCCTTTTGACTTTTTTGTTGCGGACGTTCCTTGCCCGCTATCAATTTTCCTTTTTCCCTTTCTTCCAAACTTTGTTGTTTCACCCCGACTTTTTGTACTAGTGCTTCCATACGGTGCTGGAGCAGGCCGTACCATACCAGGCTTGCTGGATGATGTTGTCGTTACATTGCTTATCACTTGTTCTTGTTGCTTAGGAATGGGTAATGATGAAATCGATTCAGGAATCGGCAGCATTGCTGATTCTGTGCTCACAGTAACATCTTTGATTTCCACTTTTTCATCAGATGCGATTTCTTCTGATGCCATCTCAATGTCATTTGCTATTTCCAACTGGAAAAGGTCAAATTAATTCAGCTTTCTTAGGACCAGTAGAATGTACAATTACATACTATAGAACAATTAGACTAGTAAAATAAATAAAACTAGTACATCAATATAAACACGCAATACTGCAGTGAGATTAAAAGAAAATGCAGCGTTTTTGGTCAATTTGTCTATCAGACTGCCATTTTGCCTGATAAACTTTGGAAGCCCTGGCCAATTTTAATTGCAAAAGCTATAGTTTTATTCAACAATGGATGCAGAGCAAAAATACAGTTTATTTTTCCATAAAAGACGTACCTGAGATTTCTCGCCGTCATTCAACTTTTCAGGTACAATTTCAATCCCATTTTCATCACCAACTTCAACTGTTGTTGAGCTCAAGTTTTGCTCAGAAATTTCCGCCATCTTGAAAATTCAACTAGAATTCTACTACACGAAGTTTCCAAGGACTCAAAAAAATTAAAAAGACGTTAGTTTCCAGTCTTCAAGTAATTTAGACGGTGATCAGTACTCAGTAGTGATCACACTGTTAAATGGACATGCCACTGATGCCAGGGTTATAAACCTCTTTATTGAAATAACTTCTTTATTGAAAAACCTTTTTATTGAAATAACTTCCTTATTGAAAAACCTCTTTATCTTTTTTCGGAATCATGAGTTTTTCGCCCGGGATCATTTGATCTATTCCTTCTGAAAACAACAATGCTTCAATTGTAAGCTCGCGGTGCTAGTTCCAGAGTTTGTTGGCGTTTATTCACTCTTAGACTTAAACTAAGCAATTGGAACCAAAAAGACTTTGCATAAGAATCCCGCACGACTTGCCGCAGTGCGCAAACCTCAATCCGCTATAATCCCACTATCACCGCGCAGATTTAAGCTGTTGACAACTACTACAACTGATCAAAACAGCATTCAATCAGTTACAAATGTCACCGGAATGACGAGTTTAAGAAACTTTCTTTGTGATTACAAAGAATCGCATGAAAAGAGCGCCACATATTTACCGGCAGACGCCAATATATTGGCTTTCCTAAGCAAGCCTTCTTTATCGTAAGTGTCTATCAAGTTATCAAGTATTGACCAGGCATCAACGCGAATCGCGAAGTGTTTACGGAAACCATTGGAAGTTACGTATAACAGCTTCTGCGCATGCGTTCTGATCATAACAATAGAGGTTCCCAAAAGCCAAATATAATCTCAGTAATTCGTTAGTCAAAATTTCACACACACAAAAATTAAATCTTGGATCTTCAATGCAGCAGTCTATGAACTCAGATTGTATATAGTTAAAAGTGTTAGAGACTTTATGTTCGAAATATAAGAGAAAACATACTCCGAAAATAAGCATCTTGTAAACTCAAGATATGAGTTGTTAAAAAACAAGACACAATATTCAAGGTATTAGGAAATATCACCTTGAATATTGTGTCTTGTTTTTTAACAACTCATATCTTGAGTTTACAAGATGCTTATTTTCGGAGTATGTTTTCCCTTATATTTCGCAAAAATCAAAATTGTCTGCAAGCCGTAGTTAGAAGCTTAATTAGGGGGGTGTATATTTATATATTCGTCTAATGCCCCACTAATTTCCTTTGTACGCTATTGTTCTAACTGTATATCAACATAAATATATGAATATACACGCCCCAATTAAGGGGTTTAGCTACGGCCCTGATTGTCTGCTGGAAAAGGTTTTTGGACTAATCTTTATGCTCGGACAATGGCGTATTCGACCATGGTCGAGTTCGCCGGAAAATGGCAAATACGACCATGGTCATATTCGCCGGAAAATGGCAAATACGACCATGGTCATATTCGTCGGAAAATGGCAAATACAACCATGGTCGTATTCGTCGGAAAATGGCAAATACGACCATGGTCATATTCGCCGGAAAATGGCAAATACGACCATGGTCATATTCGCAGGAAAATGGCAAATACGACCATGGTCATATTCGCCGGAAAACGGCAAATACGACCATGGTCATATTCACCGGAAAATGACAAATACGACCATGGTCATATTCGCCGGAAAATGGCAATTACGACCATGGTCGTATTCGCCGGAAAATGGCAAATACGACCACGGTCATATTCGCCGGAAAACGGCAAATACGACCATGGTCATATTCGCTGGAAAATGGCAAATACGACCATGGTCATATTCGCCGGAAAATGGCAAATACGACCATGGTCGAGTTCGCCGGAAAATGGCAAATACGACCATGGTCATATTCGTCGGAAAATGGCAAATACGACCATGGTCGTATTCGTCGGAAAATGGCAAATACGACCATGGTCATATTCGCCGGAAAATGGCAAATACGACCATGGTCGTATTCGTCGGAAAATGGCATATACGACCATGGTCATATTCGCCGGAAAACGGCAATTACGACCATGGTCATATTCGCCGGAAAATGGCAAATACCACCATGGTCGTATTCGCTGGAAAATGGCAAATACGACCATGGTCATATTTGCTGGAAAATGGCAAATACGACCATGGTCGAGTTCGCCGGAAAATGGCAAATACGACCATGGTCATATTCGTCGGAAAATGGCAAATACGACCATGGTCGTATTCGTCGGAAAATGGCAAATACGACCATGGTCATATTCGCCGGAAAATGGCAAATACGATTCGTCGGAAAATGGCATATACGACCATGGTCATATTCGCCGGAAAACGGCAATTACGACCATGGTCATATTCGCCGGAAAATGGCAAATACCACCATGGTCGTATTCGCCGGAAAATGGCAAATACGACCATGGTCGTATTCGCCGGAAAATAGCAAATATGACCATGGTCGTATATTCGCCGGAAAACGGCAAATACGACCATGGTCATATTCGCCGGAAAATGGCAAATACGACCATGGTCGTATTCGCCGGAAAATGGCAAATACGACCATGGTCATATTCGCCGGAAAATGGCAAATACGACCATGGTCATATTCGTCGGAAAATGGCAAATACGACCATGGTCGAATCCGCCGGAAAATGGCATGTACGACCATGGTCATATTCGCCGGAAAACGGCAAATACGACCATGGTCATATTCGCCGGAAAATGGCAAATACGACCATGGTCGTATTCGCCGGAAAATGGCAAATACGACCATTGTCGTATTCGCCGGAAAATGGCAAATACGACCATGGTCATATTCGCCGGAAAATGGCAAATACGACCATGGTCATATTCGCTGGAAAATGGCAAATACGACCATGGTCATATTCGCTGGAAAATGGCAAATACGACCATGGTCATATTCGCCGGAAAATGGCAAATACGACCATGGTCGTATTCGTCGGAAAATGGAAAATACGACCATGTTCATATCCCCCGGAAAATGGCAAATTCGACCATGGTCATATTCGCCGGAAAATGGCAAATTCGACCATTGTCGAGTTATGGGACGAATATGTAAGTGTCCCCCCCCCACTTTTTTATACCATAGTGTCTTATTTAAGGTATATTAAACAAAAAAATCAAGAAATGGTCTTCACAAATGTGAACTCGAAAGTCCAAACTATTAACATTCGACAATTCCATATAAAACAATTGGCTACTATTTTATTGACCGCTGACCAACTAAGTCAAATGTTTACGTGGCAGTTAATCATATGCATTAACTAATCAATGCAAACTGAGGCGCCCCCCCCCCCCCACTTTCCAACATGGATTTACGCCCTTACTAGTAACCAAACTAGGTACATGTGGTATACTCGACCGCGAATACTACCGGAATATGGTATTCTCGACAAGGGTCGAAATATGTTGAAGTTTGAAAACATCCATCAGTCAGCCAAAATGCTGGATCCTCCCGTGCATGCCATTTACACACATCACATAAGCAATTCATGATTGTATTTTCACTGAGCTACATTCGTTTTAAGTGGATTGACAAAAATCTTCCGATCGGCGTCTAGAATAGCTTCCACGGTTTATGGTTTATCTAAACAGAAGTGCTTTCTCTGTGTCACTGCGTGTTGAGTGAGCTGTTAGAATGCTGAAGTATGTTTAAAGTTAAAATATTTTGAATTATCGTCGATACTAAATGAGTCGTATGACGTATAATTTTGTGCAAGATAAAAGCGGTTTTATATAAGTCCAACCGATGAACTATGTTGCGATATGTTTATGCAAATGCTCCTTATATAGCTGGAAAAGTGTCTGCGAATATGCAAAACATTAATTCGACTGTATAAAAAAATACTTCAAATATGTCGAATAATTTCAGAAAAGGTTTTTTCAACAATGATATAAGCTTTTAAAATTACTTGACAGTTGACACAACTTCAAAAATTACCCAAACTTATCACCCAATGCCCATTATTAACCGCATAAATATATGGATACTATAGTCTATACAATTACACGTAAACTGCAAGTAATAAAACGTCGCTGAAATTGTCAGATTATTCTTCTTGATAACCGTGAATGTATTTACTGATATGATCTGGATCTTCGTTGCTGTAGAAATTCTTGATATGGGAGATGAACGCTGAAACATCGATTTTCCTGTTGTTGTTATCTGTCAAGTATTGATGGCACAAAGCTTTGCTGTTCTCCGTCACACCTGAGATATGAAACAAGATAATTTCCGTAGTAAATAATGATTTTGAAGATAACTGGTTTGTTGTTTGACTGGTTATATAAATCTGCTTTCTTTTTGTTGATTTTGTGCTCATATATGAATTAGATGCAGTCAATTGCAGCAAGCTTGCGAGGTAGGTTTCTGCAATGCACGTGGGAGAAAAAATTCTTTGCCTTTGGTCGATCTGCAGACGCTATGGCCTTGTGAGTCGTGAGTGATCTTACGTCACGATATTCAAAACGGATGTAATTTTTTTATCACTTGTATGCTTTACCGGTACAGTTTGATTTGCAAGTCTTGTGACCAATTGAAAAACGTTTTCAACCTTACATAGCCGGGGACACACAGTCCTGCTAACTGCATTCGCGGATTTGCATTCAAATGAAACATATTTTCTCTGAGACAGAAATTCTGCAAAATGTCAGTTCAGAATGGTTTAAAGTCCGAGGTAACTATTCGGGACAAATGACCTGAGACACAATCATCACAACGTTGTGAATAGTGTTGATATACAGCCGTACTTATCATTATTAATATGAAAAGGCTCAATCCTACAGTGACACTGTAGCATTGTAATTGTAACGCAAAAGATATTTTCTTTTCCCTTCGTTTTTTAAAGCCATGCATGCATCGCTCGAAATACGTTCGAAATTAGTTTAACTTTTAGACGAATAAGCCAAACAAACTTCCATACATAATTTATATATCCATGCAGTACACTTTCTGGCTAATTTCCATAAAACGTTGAAATATATAACCTAGCTTAACTGTAAACAGTCAATTGTTTAACATGATGCTTTAAACTTTAAAATCCGAGAATCAGAATATGTTTGGAATTCAAGTTTCCCGAATTCGTAGCGTCGCAAAGCAGTATCGTACTTCAGTAGGGTGGAGCAAATATTGGCCTTATTTTATGGTGGAGTGCTTCCCGTTAACAACTATATCTTAATAAAATATGTAAAGTAAGAACTATACTATAGCCTATATAGGTCGTAAATTGACGTCGTGATTTCTGTCTGGTAAACGTGCTAATGATATAAATTATTTTTTAACTCCTGGACGTCAACTAACAGAAGTCTTCCCCGTTTTGTATGCAGGACTAAGCTACCATAATGTGCAATAATCTATCCTTCAAGTGATCACGAGACTACTTGCACGAATCTGATCGACGGCAGCTTTTAAATTTCACCCTGAGGCTAAACTACGCTCAATGCACGAATTTTCTTTCTCACCTGGAAGCAACTCCAAGCCATCTTCCAAAAGGATGCCCTCGTCATTTGACCAACAATTCGTGTACGACGCCCTCAGTGAATCTTCGAACCACGCGGGCAACGCGTCCTTTTGAACTATGTGATCCCGAATCGACATGTTAAACGCGATGAACTCGTTCAGAGATATGTCCGCATGATTTTTAGCGAACTTTGCCATCTCTGTGAAGTAATGCATCGCGGATGGTATCCAGTCCGAGTCGAATCCCGCGATTTTCTTGTCGATTTCCTCGTTCGAGACGCCCTGGCTTCTCATTTGTCGCTTTATAACGTCTTCAAGTTGTTGACTGTGTATCGCTGCGTCCTCTTTAGTGATAAATCCCTTTCGACTGTGTTCGAAGCATTTGAATAAGTGTACGAATTTTCGTCGCAAAAATTCCTGTCCATTTGTTGCCATGTCGTGAAAGGTTTATTTCAGACGGACTCGAGTCTTGACTGTATAAATTGAGATACCTGTGTCGTTGATTTGCGTAGCGAGATTTGACTGTAAACAATGCACGACTTCGAATGCACCCAAGTGGCGTTGACAATGGCTTAAAAAAGACAGTCTTTGAATTGTGAACCTTAATTTGCGTTTTTAGTCGTGTCTCGTGAAAGCAGCGCCGTGTCTCGTGGAGAATTAACCGCAGGAGTATAGTTATCGGACACTGTGTCTATGAAATTTAATTAGCTTTATTACCTGCGATTTGAATAGTGCTACATTCGATAAAAATACTATTTTACTTGCGCGAGACCAAACCTTTTTACGACAGAGTGTGTCGAAGAAATTTAAACTTCAGAAGTTCGACTATTCTGGTAGCTAAATTGTCAGATATTCAAGGGCACTCTCGGATGCATAAACGACACAACGAAAGTAATGTTCTTTGCTTATAACCTTATATACGCTGTGCGTTGAAGCAAAGTACATCCATAATTAATCATAACTGAGGACTTCTCCCAAATCCGTGGATTTAGCGTCAGCGTAGCATATTCGACATTAAAACTGACAGCACTCATAGCAGCAACAGTTACGATCGCTTAGCTATTTGATATAAGGTCAGCATATAGTTTTTTATACGCACTGTACTGATTGTAAAACAATTCCTATCGCTGCAAAATTTGGCTCAAAAGTTTTCATCTAAGTACTTGGTCAATAATTTGTTAGCCAATCACTCAATTAATCATTTTTATTTACACGTTGCTCAGTGTTAATTTGAGTTAACGATAACTTGATTTCTACTGAAAACGTTTTGATTGAGACGCTGGCTTGCTGAAATGGGCAAGTTTTCTGTTGACAAAAAACCTTGTTCTTTTGCTTGTAACGCTATTCCGATTAGCTCAAGCGATGGACTGACAGCCAAAGATTCTCGATTATAGCCGTAGTTAAACATTTGTGTCCGGATAGACCCATAATATTTGTTGAAAATATACTTCTCAAGAAAAACTTTACACGAGAAGGTGAACTTTCAAATAAAGTAATTGAGGAAACGTGATATTTTTACCGACTTCTATACCTTCATAAATTATTTGCCCCAGTTGTTTGACATTTTATATCCCCACGAGCCACGACATTCCGAGCCCACGGCACACGACACACGAGCGAAGTCAGAATTCGGACTTCCTGGTGAAAATCTGTTATCAACAATTTTCGCGAACAATAGCTACCTGTGTAAGGTGCTAGGTTCTCTGGCAAGCTTCGCACTGCGAAATCAAATTGTGTCAGAAATATCGGTAATTAGATGATAGCAGGTGACGATGTGATCGCATTTTTTATTGTGCAAGTTTAGGCAGGCTGAGTTTCCATGCTGTTTGCCTGAAAAAACCATAAACGCCAAATGAAAATTTGATAGCATCGATATAAATATCAGTTGAATTATAAACCGAGTTTTTTGTTTTTGATTTAGCGATTTCGTTCAGTCGTATACGTTTGAACTCAGTGAGCATTCTTACCTTTTTTCAAACTGTCGTGACCATTGAGATGGAATGGTCGTGACTTATTTTAGATACGTCATTGTGAAAGCGATTCATTGTAATCGTTTTTAAAGCCTAAATTATCGTACTCAAATTTCTTACAACTTCACTAGCGAAACACTGACAAATTTAAAGGCCCGTGTAAACACACCGAAAGCTTTGAAGGTAAATGTATACGTGATGTTCCTTCGAACTAATTAATTAATAATTATGTATGCTATAAATTTTACCTTGTGTGCAAATCAGTTTTCATGATCGCCACATGACGCGAGTCAACACGCATTTCGCATTACGACCTTAGTTGTGCTTTCATTCTAAACAGTCTCTGCTGATCACAGAGATATAGATCTTATTCAAATTAAAGTTTTCTTACGGAACGATTAGACCTCTTGGAAAGACCGAAGGCTTTATTTTTTACTCGTCGTAACAACCAACTCGCAAGGATAACAAAGTAGCAATTCACTTGAGGTTTCTCCTCTCTTAAAAACCGACTTCCAAGCTCGCTTAGCCTGGAATTTTCAACCATTCCACAAATTAAAAGACGATGTTAGTTTTACAAACCTTTTTACAAATAACACATTAAAAACTCGTTTTTGTATTTCATTGCATATAATATCAGAGTATTCTAAATTTCATATAGTTGACAAAACTATCAAAAACTTTGAGTTCATACAGTTCATATAGTGAACTATTTAAATACACGTAAAGATAGAATAGCTTCTATAATAAACATCACGAGTCCATTTGTCTTCGAAATATATTATTAATGGGCGAAGACGTTTGCCCTGCGCAATGGGGCAAAGGAATTTGAAACAGTAAATATTTATATACGTGTAAATCAGTACTAATTTACAACACAAAAATGTAATTCAGCGCCCCGACATAGGCTAGACTTATATAAACTCATTTTGAGGTATTATTCTAACACTGAGCTCCATACCTGAAACCTGAACTGGACTCAATAGCTTCGTTCTCGCGCTAAAGTTAGTGCCATAAAGATGGATATAATTCCTTGGAATGAAAAAGAGCAAGCATGAAAACGGTTTCATAGATTTTGAAAACTAATATTTCTGGACATTCGTGAATAATCAATCCAGGTATAGATAGAGAGCTCATTGGCTGTATTTCATCGCGTGACAATGGATACTACAATAATATGATTCACATCGGATTATATAGTTAGTAACTTAGTATATGATGATTATAATATATTGCTCTGGAGTGGATTTTTTAAATCGGCCTCGAACAATAAAAGTAGATAATATAAACAGTTTACGAGCGGTTTGCGCACGCGCATTTCTTCACTTTAACATTGTCCACGTGACGTAGCACCGTATGCTGCATGCTATCAAAGTACAGAACTGTCAGTTTTCGAAATTTCGACGGCCGACAACAACGCGAATTTTGACTTGGGGCGACGCTTTGGATCGCAGTCGCAACTGCCTGAGCAAGTTGCCGCATCATCGGGTCGGAGCCCAACGGGACCGGCTGCTGTAGCCCGCAAATGCCCGTTTTGAACGAGGTGGGAAGAATAAACACGCTATTGTTCATGCCTGTTAAATTAACAGTGACTTGATGTAGTTTACACGTCGGTGCACGCCGCTTCGAGCGACCGTGGAACTTCGAAACATCGTCGGCACGTCGGACGGCTACGGCATCCCGTGGGAACAACTTCGAGATACCTTCGGTCGCTCGCCTTTTTCTCGTATTGGGTTCGTCGGTGTTCGTTACCAAGTACGTTTCTCTGACGAGATTGGTCAAAACGTTAGAGCACAGGCCTTTCCGAGTGCTTGGATTACGCAACGTGATTCTAACTTTTAATTTTTCATTTGGATTCGTCCCTGTAGCGAGTTTTCGAATAGAATTTGTCAGGTTAAGAGTGTTCACACCTGAGCTTTGTGGTGACATGACATAGTTTCCAAAGACTTGGCCTGATTTATGACCCAAGACTCGAACATTCAACACTGGCATACTGCAGTGGTTTTGTTGGGAGATATTCAATCGTAGCCTGGCACGCTTTAGGTTTTCATGTTGTAAAAAGCCCAAGTGGTCGAATGTGGCTTCGAAGGCAATGTCAGAGCTTTTCACAGCTGTTAAAAAGCAAATGAAAAAGATTGTTTGTTAAAGAAGTAACGTTACAGAAATTTGGATGTCATAACTTGCTGTTTTCAATAAGGCAATCGTTTGCATAATGGCAGAACGCCATTCCAAATAATCCGAAAGTTAATCGCAGTCAATAACAGCGATTTAAGGGAGATAACCCTCTTATATAGAACTTAATCCAAGGACTAGTTTGATTCATTTTTGTTTTCGATCTCCTAAAATGAATACATAGTTCGTTGACAATCTTGGAAGCTTTAAACATTAACCCGCTTAGCTAAGATTAACAATACAAAGCGTGGCAATACTTTGAGGTAATGAAATACGTCAATAGCAATCTTGGCAAAGGCGTACGCCTGTATTGAAAGAACTCATCCAATTCTGTTAGAACTCATTCAGAGTTTTGTCATTAGGGAACAAGGAGATAGTTAACGTTCTTTCTTAATCAAAGACTGAGTGAAAATACCTCCATTGAAACGTCATGAGGAGATTAAGATCTCCAAGTGAACGAGTTTGAGTGTGAGTGAGCTCATAGCTTTTAGAATACAGGGTCTTGTGAGATATTATTATGGTTTCATATAAAGGTTTTCATATAGTTTGTCATTATACGCTCTGTTTGAGCTCTGGTAAGTGCATTATCTTGTAAACACTAACATATCCTAAATGGAAGGAGAGTCAAGAAGACAAGGTATAGCTATAACGGCTAACATTCTCTCAGTCTCAGCTACCAGCTGCCTTACTCTGTGCTATGCCAGATGATTTTAACCGCGTTCCTGGAGTATAATACTGACAATTCATTAAGAGCTGCATGCGAAAGATACAAAAAAGTCTGTAGACCGAGGGAAGTGGTTTATTGGATATGACACTTTTTTGAACGAAATATATGACAGAAAGTATTTTCGTTCGCAAGTCGTGAGTGCTTAGCTGATATCACACCGACAACAACACCCTTAGCTTAATTTAAAAACGAAGTATATTCGTGGCTTGCAATGTTATAGGATGGTATGTTCCCTCACTTTGCTGTCGCTAAGATTTTTTTTTTTTTTCTCACATGTATTTAAAGCCCCGTTTACACTACACTCGGTACGGCTAGAATGGGTACCCGTACGAACCGTATAAAACTTGGTACGGGTAGCAATTTTATGCGCGTCGTGCCAATAAATTGGAGCTGCTTTCCACCGTCGCGTTTTTTGCACGTATGTATGCATACGCGCACGTAAAAGATTAAAACCTCCTAAGTTGTTGTATAATTAATTTTAAGCCAGAAAATACACACCAAATCATCAACAGAATCCAATCCTATTCAATCGTTGATTTCATAAGTATCATTTAAATGATTTTAAGCTTTTACATTGCGTAAAACAGCCTTAAGCCGTGCAATGAACTGAAGCTATTTGTGAATGTCTCATGTCAACCCATTAGCACTGACAATGCGCTTCAATTAGACTTCCTTTTTGAAGCGATATGGGTTAGTCAAGGTAATTTTATCACTCAATCATGCTCCATTGGTTGATGAGGTGCTATGTTACGGTATATTATTATTGGGAATTATTTTTACTATATTGGGAATTGTATCGCATTTTTGCAAATAAGCAGGCGAAAGTTCACCAGATACTTTTTGTGAACTGACATCTGTGTGATATAAGATCGTGGCTAGTAGGTTCAAAACTCAAGAGCTAATGTTTGAGAATTAACTTTTTGATGTTGGTTTTAGAGTTTTCTGAACTGAAATTCAGTCGTAAATGGACCAACCCTCAGATATGCGACCTTGCAATTGTTGGAATTCCAGACATTTTAAACACGAAACTCGAATTTTGAATATGAAGTACCTCATGTGTAAGTAGGTAATCCAGTTTAATACAAGTGCCTGAGTGTTTGAGAAAACATACGGTGTTTAGATTTTTCAACGAATCGGCTTATAGCAGTTGCCACCCAAAACCACAGTTTGACTGGATTTCCGCTTCAGTATCTCGCACGTTCTCGCTTATTTTTTGGCTATAAAAATAAATTTGTTTGAAAATACTTCTTTTACACGTTTTTAATCGAATATCATTGGAATAATAATGTCCCGCAGACATTCAAATATTTAGGTGGTTATAGTTATTTTTCTGTTAAATGCAATCTGTGTTTGTAGAAGTCAATATACCCTGTTACAGCTGGTGTCTAAATCACCCGCTTGCTCAGGCTCTCCGACAGGAACCGAACCCTAAGCCTCAGCTACCATTCCGGAGCAATGCTCTCACCGCTAACGAAGGCCCTTAAAGGGTTGAAGAGTCGAGATGCTTCGTCTCTCTAATATAACTGTACATTATTTACATAATCAACAATTCAATGATTGGGTTACGTCTTGTTCTGTGGCTATAAGCAGTTTTTCGTAACGGTGCATTAAAGGATCTAACATGTTTTAGGCAACCCCTTAACAAGTAACAGAGTTTCTGGTAACCACCCCATTATTGTGATGAACTTTCTTTCAACAAGTACAATTGTCGCATCAGTTCAGCCCTATTGTCATTACCACGCGAAAATTCAACCCAGAAATATGACTTTCCTCGAGGAACACTCTTCTGCTGAAATTTTCTTTCTCGTTAATAAACTAGATTTTCAATTTTTATTATGCTACCCGGAAGGCTTTCATTCACTGATAATCATCATACATCCCGCGCAAACCCACAAACGTAAGCTTTCTATGGTTGAACAAGGATAAAAGTAATACTGAATAGGAGAACCTTTGCGAAGGATGGAAACTTAAAAACGTTTTCACTATTATAACCCGATATGACACTCAGTTATTCCATATCAACGCTAGTGCAGTAAAAGCCATTAACGGCCTACGAAATATTTAAAAGTACAAACTCACCAATGGCTGCGTTGCTGTGCACGATACTGGAAAAAGGATTGCGCCCAGCCATATACCTTTGATACAGGTCTTGCATGAAGGTCGGGAACTGCTGTAGAAACGCTTTTCTTCGAACGGGAGTTCCTTCACACGCTTTTTCACAGAATGCAAAAATCAGCAGAAACAAACTTGCGATGTTCATGATTGAAGCTTGAAGTCTCTTCGAGTTCTCGGCTTGGAAATGTGTTGACTTTTCGAGGTGGCTCGAATTTTTTTTATTTCAAAGCCGGAATAAAAGAATGCTCAGGCTTTGGACAATTTCTGTTCCTAGGTTTTGTTGATACTCTCTGGTTTGACAAGCCAAGGCTACTCTCGGAGTGAATGTCCCTTGCAACAGAAGCAACGATGTCTAGTTGAACAGTGATATCCCAAGTGTTATATATACGCTCGAGCAAAACCCACCCGCATTGATATAAATTTCCGTACACGGACGTAATCCTTCACTCAATATCTTCAAAGACCCCCAGATTGCTCGCCTGTGTAAATAAAGCTTTTTGTTTTTAAAAGACAGATTCCAGGCTCTCGAATCGCGTAGATTTATCTGGCTAGAGCAGAATTAATCGCATAATCGACGGCCAGAGCTAATTTCCTTCGGAAACCGACAGAGGAAATCCAAAGACCATCCACCCAATGTAACGTTCCTCGATGTAATTTTGTAAAAAGAGCTTGAATTCTTAGTAGGTATAAACTGCAAGGTATACAGTTGAATATCTGTCTTAAGCGCATTTTATGCAAATGAGCTCTTGAGAGGTGTGTTCAAAGTCGCTAAACGGGATCACTATCACTATGCGCCTTAACTGAACTTTTTTTCATACTTTGAGATTATTGAGAGTTTTGAGGGCTTTCTAGATGAAAAATCGCGACCCTTGACTTAGGAAGGCAATTTAGGAAAAAGATTCACCGTAATAAGGATATCTAACACTTTGAAATTGATATCGAGTGCGGTGCGGTTTGATATGATCCGGGCAGCCAATTATCTCATGCAGAGTTCAAACGGGTGCCACCCATCAGGAATGCTGAAAGAGAACCGCAGAATAAAAAAGCAACAACCACTAGAACCGTCAGGCTATAATTAGTAGCAATAGTTAGTTAAAAGTTGAAATGGCCAAGGTGAAACTAGACGCTGAGTAAAGTTCACCTGGCAAGATTAAAAGTGAAGAAACGAATAACTTAAACATTCTAGAGAAGAAGGAACTGGGTAGTATCGCTGCATTAGAAGCAAATCTAAAAACTCAGATAGCTACAAACTCTGCAATGACAAATTGACAGAGCTTGGTGAAGATTGAAAGAGAACATACAAAAACCATTACAAAACAGTGAGCACTATTCCAGTCCGCAGTTAGCCTAGTATTGGTTAAATTAACCAAAGGACTGCAATGATTAACTGACATCGAGGAAGGTTGAAAGTGAAACACTGAATAAACATTGCAAAGCAGTAAGTAGTAGAATAGTCAGACTAGTAGTACTGCAGTGATCAACTGAATAAAACATTGCAAAGCAAATAAGTACTAGATAAATACCAGACTAGTCAGGCTGGTATTATTAGAAACAGTCAGCACTCAGTCAGACTAGCAGTACTGCAATGATCAACTGACATCGAGAAAGGCTAAGAGTGAAACACTGAATAAAACATTGCAAAGCAGTAAGTACTAGACTATTCAGACTAGCATTAGTAGCAACAGTCAGCACTCAGTCAGACTAGCAGTAGTGCAATGATCAACTGACATCGAGGAAGGCTAAAAGTGAAACACTTGAATAAAACATTGCAAAGCAAGTAAGTACTAGACTAGTCAGGCTAGTATTATTGTATTAGTATAGCAACAATCAGCACTCAGTCAAACTGGCAGTACTGCAGTGATCAACTGACAATAAGGAAGGTTTAAAGGCTCGACTAATCCTAGCTAGCGACTAGTAGAAAGGATTCAGTCCCCAGAAGCACTGAAGTCCATAACAGAGTAACAAAACCATGACACAAACAAGACATGCATCCAGCACCTATTCTTTCAGTGGCCCATTGTTGGTCTTTTGTTTTTTGTAATCGCGTATGTCTCAGTCACAATCAATAAATAGTGGAATTCAAGCTGGGAATGGAATTCGTTGCAAAGAGACCTAATCCAAGCGCAAATCCCCAATTATATAATAATGATAGGTATTTGTCTTAAGACGCTTTTTGCTAATCTAAGGCAATCTAACGGTCAAAGTAAGTTCAAGTTCAACTACAATTGAGTAAATTTATTTCAAGGCAACATTTTTCCGTTAGGGACCGTTTACATTTGCAATTTTTGGCGCGATATTTTGTGCGCTTTTCCTCTTTTGATAGATGTGAATGAGTAATTAGTTACTAATTCTCATTCGTTCACATCTATCAAAAGAAGAAGCTCGAGAAATAAATCGCAAGTATTGGGAACATCCATCGAGCGTCTGATCGGCTCATCATGGTAAAAAAATGCCATCCAGGTTGATTCCTACAAGGTTGCTGAAGCTCATGGAGCACAGTCATCAACAGTTGCAAAAACGTGCGCAAAGTACAGTACATATTCTCGTTTAATTTGACCCCCTGCCAGAGCGTCCGGATGTGAGTCCTCAATTACTACAGCGACCGAATCTTGGCATGTAGCCGAAACGATATACACGACGGAGCCAAAACAAATTAACTGTGTTTTACAAAGCAACAAACAATAAGGTATCATTTTAAAAACAAAACAACATTCCTTAACACGAAATGTTATTTCATTGATGTTTCCGATGGAAGGATGTAACTAATTCCTTTCCTTCATTTTGTTATGCGTTGATTATTGTTTATCGGTAGGATGAGTCTTCCTGTATTAATTTACGAAAAACGCCGATTTTATATATCCTGGGAGTTCGGCATTTTTTCTGTAGTTCCAAAATTAGCACATACATGTGCTGTTAAGGTTTCTTCCTGCATGTGATAATACTGGTCACTGAACGAGGGACGGTTTATGACTAACAGAGATATTCACTCGAAATATAATTTGCGCTTAATTCTTTAAGAAACTTGGAGGGGACGATTGATTTTAAAGTAGGGCTATTAACTTCACACAAGTGGGGCTTCACACAGTTGAATCACTTCGGTTTGATCACCCAGTAGGTGTTTGTTCTGGGCTATTGGACTCTAGGATTGAAGAACAGTTTAGGACTGACAGAGATACCTGTAATATTAAACGAAGTACGTTTAGGTACAGTAATGTTGAGGGGGGGGGGCGTACAGTAAAGAGGGAGGGGTATTTTCTTCACCTGTTACTTAGCGTTATTTCAGTGTATCGCGAAGACTCAATAAGCTGGCTAAGGCATCTTAATTATACCAATATTTTACCACTATTTATAAATTTTTAGGTTCAATGCTGGGCCTCAATTAAAAGTAAAGGTCAAAAAATCAAAGTCTAGTCGTATAAAATAAAAAAATATCATATTTTATATGATAAATCTAGTCGTAGACTTTCGTAGATCTTCGTACACTGTCGTCGCATCTTTGAAGATTTGTTATGGCTCCTTTGTTGACCCCGAAGTGTTTAAAAATCGTGAAAATGAAATTATCTTCTTCGTGATTCGTGAAATCTGAAAAAGACCTTCGTGATTTCGTGACAAGACCCCACTTGCTCCCACTCAGTTATGCTCTGTTTTTTATCGTATAACACTGGATCAACATAATGATCCCCACCAGACTTTTAGCAAGAACAGCGCCTCTAATTCTGTGAGGAAGCTATCCAATTTAAATAAATTTGTTTAGCTTAGGTTTCTGTCGGTAGCATAATGCTGGATCAATAAGAGATGATCGTTACTGAATCTTTAATCATTGCCATTCATATATTGTTTTAGTATCAGGCTAGCTCTTCTCAACTGAAAAAGTCTTGCCTCATTATATATTTACAGTGCTGTAATCAGATTTCCTGACGTTGAACTAGATCAATAAGGAACTAACATGAGAAGTGTCAAAGAAATCCAGTGTAGTACGTTTACTAAAAAAACACCAATATTTTTCTGGTCGCATACAAGTTACGAAAACATCCTCATGATAAAAGCATGTTTGCTCGAAACGATAAGGCTAATCTTTTTCAGACGGATTTAACAAGAACAGTATTCGCATTTTAAGTGGCGATAGTTCGTTAAACGCGTGCATTCCATTTAAAAAAATGATAATAAGCTAACAATTTCAATATAAACAAGGCTGAAAGCGTTCCCTGGCCGGCGAGAGCTGATGTTTTTATTAATTCGGATGTAAAGCGTTTTAAAAAAAGAACAAGTGAAGTGAATTATTTCAATGTAAACACATGGAAATTGTACTTTTGCCAAGAAAGCGTGCAGTCACGGTAAACTATAGATAGCTGTTTCATTTTTTCTATTGAGACGATGTCTAATTGATCCTTTGTCACAGCTGGAGGAAACCTGATCTAAATTGATTTTGTACTGTATATAGTTAATTCTATTCAAAGCGAAGCTGCTTGTACTAGTTGTACAATATAATCATCTCCTATTGATCCAGGGATGCTAAACAAGAACTAGAAATTTGAAACCTAAAATGAACACAAGTTTATCCCTAAATTTCAGTAAACATCGTTTCCTATATTGAGGATCCAGTGTTACCAATGGAGGATCACTGAATTACTTCAAAAATATACCGGATATAGTTCTGTCACTTCTACATAGTTCTAACAATAATCTTAGGGTTTCAACGATCATGCAGTTCAGTTAGTTTCATGCATCATAAATATAGTTTATACAACTATGTTTATTTATAGTGTACCTGAAAGACCAGCGAGGGAACGTATTTAACTTTCTCTACATGCAGTATATTCATGCAGAATTCTACTTCCCTATCCCATTCATTCACCGGCGACATGATAAAACTCGCTGATTGACTTGGGATTTTTTGGCAGCGTCTCTTCGTTTCGTGGCGTCCATGTCGACCACACACTGAGAAGTTGGGAAATGAAACATGCATGTTTTGTATTCCAGACGTGTTTAGTTTAGCTCATTGCCATTTCTACATTGTTTTTCTTTGAGGAAAGAGTATTTGAAAAATATGCTTTGATCCACAGACGCTAAAACATATTTGTTACGGAATCAAAATATAATTTTTAATTTATATTCACTGAATCTCACCAAACGAAAATACAGCACCAATTCATATGCAGATCTCAGTGCCTGGAATGTGCAGTCGTTTCTTTCGCATGAAAACATTGTGTGAAAATATTGTGCATCGAATTCTTCAAAGCTGCAGCTTTGTCATGGCAAAAGGATTTTCAATTGAAATTTCTGATCATCATGCACTAACATATGTATTGTCACAACACCAGGCAACGGACGACAGGAATGACATTTAACGCACACAGTTTTAAAAGTTTGTGGACTTACATCCATTCGGTGTGGAATGATATCGATTCTATAATCTGATGATTTAAAAAAAACTCCGGCGTGAAAATTGGCAGAAAAAAAGTTTTTTTAAGGCGCCAGCTACAAAGTTGCACAGTTAAATAATCGGTGACCCTCTTGCATATAAGTACTCCTCGTTTAGATAAAAAAATGTTAAAAAATCGATTATACCTCCTGCATGCAAAAGAGATTTCTTGCATGTGATGCGGTGTCTAAAGGTCTGTTCACACGATCCAATTTACTTCTGACGTATGGAATTAAGTTGGCTTTAGTGGATTTGCTGCCCATGTACATTACAAGACAACAGACTATAAAACCTCCATCAGAAGTGAATTGGATCCAAAACAGAACTTTAATCAAAGGCTTTCAACAGCATTAAAGTTAAACATTAAATTAAAGTGAATACAGGCTCTATAGGCAAAAAGACACCGTTTTTATTCAAAAAGCTCACCCACACTCATCGAATTTTATTTAAAAATGCTTGCACCTACCGACCCATGGTATTTTTGAAAGAGTATTAGGAAAGAATTAGCATGTTCAAATGGGTTAGAAATTACCGGATTTTTGAGCTTTCTAGATTTATCGCAAAACGTTCCCGTATTTTTTTTGAAATTATATATAAAGCGTATTTTATAATTATCGGTAGAATAAACACTTGCGGCTGTTTGCAGGGTATTTTGACCTTGTAAATTACTAAGGTTCCATTTTTTTAATCAATGAGGCAGAGTTCTTTAAGTTTGTCCCTTAAGAATGAAGAGCTTGCGTACTTTTATTTATTCAAACTAACGAATCTTATTACAACCAGACAGAAAAGCTGCTAAAATTCCATTTAGCAGATAAAAAGCATTATTACATTTTAAAGTGGTTTCTGGGAAACTTGAACCGTTAAATACGAAAGTTGAGCAAACATCATGTATTAAATTATATGTGTCAATAATTTAACCCAGAATTTCACCATTGTTTCATTCGGATAAAAAATTATACTATCTTGGAAAATTGTGAATGTATACATAATATGGTTCTATAGATATATACATTATTAAAACTATATAGCTATTATATATTATTGAATTGCAGTAACTTTATTATACCCTACAACTTTTCTTTAACGTGCATGCCTTAATTTAACGTTTCTTTAGCGGCGAGCTAAATGCAGAAATTTCTACTAAATGCAATAAACTTCTCGCATGATGGAAAAATGTTGTGGGGGGAAAATTGCGAAAGTGAAAAATGATATCCGGTGCAAAATCGTCTTTAGATCTTGTGTATACATAGCTACAACGCGTCTAAAACCATCTGAAAAACGGTTTAAAGCTGTTTTTTACACGTACGTATGTAGATATAATAGTTAAAAACCTTCTAAGTTTTGGAAAAACCAATTATACATTAGAAAAACACATTAGGGAAGGGTTTAATCTTAGTGTATACCCGACCCAACTGTAATTTTGGAGCTTAGTTTGAATATGATTCTGCCAAATAAAATCCTTTATGGGTGCAACTTCATATATTTGCATACCCGTAAAATTGCTGTCTCGTTTCATTTCCGTAACTCATATATTTTGAATTTACAAGATGTTGATTTTCGAAGCAGTTTTTTCTCACATTGCACATACAGCACAATCAACTCGGGAGGCTATAATAGCGCCGCGCAAGCCATGCAACCGGTTATATTAGCATGTTTCTATTGGTCTGATGCCGGTTCTATAAAACTCAAACAACATTTGGTTGTCATAGGCAAAAGGAACGGTCAAAATGAATTCCACGAAACGCAGCATAGTCGTCGGTTAAACGTTTATACTCGGTTACTGCATGCACCGGTGATAGACGCCTAGTCTCTCTCAACAATCACATAAAAAACTCTGTATTCATCATAGTATATATCCTTTTCGATGTAATACATTTACCGTTTAGCTGGGATTAAAACTCTTACGTGCGCGTACGAACGTAGGCAAACGACGACAGCGGAAATTGGCTCTAAACCTTGTCACTTTGAGCGAATACGATTCGTTGCTGAGGAAGCTATGGTAGCTTAAGTATTCGACCAGAAAAACATTGTTGTTTTCATAGTAAACTGCGCTGCATGGATTGCCCCTGCAGAATCTCGATCGTTCGTAAGTATTGATCCAGTTATTTAGGAGGAAATCTAAACTTAACACACTTTTTTTATTGCGCTAATGAAGGCCCAGGTATAACTAACGAGCTAAAAGCTTCGCATATAATACAGTTGTGTTCCCGTAAGCTGAAAATTTAAGGTGGTGTTACACTAGTATGCAACTTTCCTTGCAAATTACAATGCAATTCTACTCCTGAGGAATCTAAAGTAGTCAAATATAAACATTCCTTATAACTCGCTAACGTTTTCTAACCATTTCGGACACTCTTCACTAATTAACATCCCTTAAAATCATGATAATTGCATTGCAAGTTGCAAGCCAGAAAATTGCCTTGTGCAACTGTGCCCTTATATATATAAACTAACTTTTTGATATTAAATAACTCCATGACAGTATTAAGACAGCGCAATTAAACGTGCGCCTAACTCTTACAAAATGTATACATGCATGTAAAAATAATTGCTTAATTCCTCCATTTGAAATGCACATCACGTGGCTTTTGGACTCTGGACGCTGTCTTTTGAACAACCCGTAGTATAGTTAGAAAACCTCTCTGCTTTAATATGCATTGTCAGTTTGGAAATTGTAAATTTTTTTATAACGATATATCTATTTCCTTTGCGATCGAGTGAACAAGTTCTGCGCTGTGCATTTAAGATCATCAGATGTTGGCTTATTCTTTTCATAGTCAAACTTGTTCAGTGCGAACTTATAACTGGCCTTATCTGACAATCCCCTTGCGTTTAACGGTTACCTACATGCACGCAGATTTGACACGTTTAAAATGCATTTCAACATCTCAGTACAAAACGGAATATGACGCGTGCTTTAAATCAATTAATGATTCACTTTAGGCAAATTCTGTCAAATTACAACCGGTATTCGGCAAATTTAAATATTTAAGCATCAGTTTTTTACCCTGGGTGCGGTGCGGAGGAATTTTCTGGTCTATCCAGCGATTAGTAGTTCATTCAGTGGGGAGGTCAATAAATAGAGAAAAATACTGCTCCCGGCGCTAGGTTCCGTCAGGTAAAACCAGCTTAAACGGACCCGTGATTTTCACGCAGTTCCTGTCAACAGACCTTGTGAAAATTGTTCTATCATGAAATGCAAACAACTATGGGCGCTTTCCTTCATATACGCCGGGTAAAATAGGCCAGACCTCTTCTGTTGAATTTCAATACAACTGGTACTTTAAAGTGTTTCAAGAACACTGCATCAAAGTATATCGTTGTTTACATCTGCCTGGCACATGAAATGCAATTTTACCGCTTTATTTCAAACTAAATGCTCTATTTCAATCCAAAATATGACCGTTTTGAGCATTCCTGCCAAACCTATGACTCGGGAAAGCGAAATTAATTGTATCTGTTGACTAAGCAAGATCGTTCCAACTAAAAGCAAATACTAATTTTTTACTTTCCTGGTTTAACCAAATTTGGTTTCCTGGTTTATTTAAAAAGATCAACTAATGGAGGGAAGTAAATTTGCCGGGTAATTTAGTCAACTGCGAAAATTAAGAGGTTTTTCCTCAACCGTTTAAAGCCAATAGTCAAAATAATTTTCACATTATGGTCATATATATCTTTAGCGCGACCGACGCGAATCGATATGAAACGGAATTAAAACTATATAGAAAGCGTCATTTGACTAAACCACATCGTTCAAAAGTTACTAATTTCCCCTTCTTCGTGAAGCACTTTGTCGTCGCGTGTGCGTTTTGGGTGGTCGTTAAATACACGCTGAAGGACATTCGCATGAAATAAACCCTTCAACTACCTGATGACAAGGTAAAAGGGTCATCTTCTTCTAATCCCGTTCTTCCCAGCTTTTCGTTGATATCGAGGACCCCCTGACACGCAAACAAATGGTAATGCGTAGGCTGTCTGCCATACGCGCGGTTCATGCTTCAACCGGATATTCAGGAGGAAAACAAAACGTAAATCTGCCTTCAAGCTGGCTCACGCGTTCCTTTTGTTCTACAAGAAGGCTCAAGTCTTTAGGATTTCGCAACGTTTAACAGGAAAACATATCGTGCCATGCTTTTTCACGTCTTGACAAGCCCAACAGCCATACGATACATTATTGTGCTTATATCAGGGTTGTTAGATAGCTGCATATTTGAGGCCAAACAACACCACCCTAGTTCTTTGTTACCTTTGTCTTTGCCTTTTGTTATCTTTGTTTTCTTGATAGCACTAATGACAATTTGGCCTCAAATATTTGCATATCTACCAACTCTGGCTTATATACAGGGTGTATCAAAAAAAACGCAACCACTTAATATTCATGAATATCCTCTTTGTTCTACAACACAAAAGACGTTTGGCCCCTGGAATGCGAGAAAGCTTGTAATCATATTCTAGCGGCACAATCGTCGGTAAACAAAGTCGGGTGGGTAAACCAACGAGCTGAATTGAAAGTATCTAACGAGTAAAATTTTATTTACAATTTATTTTACAAGGTCGACAGCTAGCATTCAAGTTATCATGCACGACAATAAAAACTCGTTGTTCGGTTGTTAGCTGCACCATTATTAGTTTAGCTGATTTGACTATTAGCAGTTGAACTGTGCGATTAGAAGCCATTTTAAAATCCCAGGGGCATAAAATCTATTGAGCTTATGAACAATATGAATTTTAGAATATTAAGTGGTTGCGTTTTTTTTGATACACCCTGTACAGAGTGTAAAAAAGGCTGGTATTCATATATAACATCACGTCATAATTCTTGGTAATCTACATGTATAATTAGTTGTAATTTGGTTGTGAATTTGTTTAATATTCTTGTAATATTGCATGCATGGGGATCACAATATAATTTGTTTGTCTATTTTTCAACGAATAGGCTCATGTAAAACATTTCAAAAAAGTTTCGTAAAGTAAAAAATAGCTGCCTACTTATGTAACTTATACATTATTACTATATGTTGACAAATTGCCGAAAAAATTCTCGCGTTAGAATTATCACGCAAATTTGGGCAGCTATGCATGGTTAGACTAATTATGTGGTGTATAAGTCGAGTAATGGAATAACAAAGTGAGATGTGTACAAAACAAGGACGAATTGACATTTATTCATTTAACAAGTCCAAGATTTCTGTGCTCAATACCATTATGGGCCATGTCCTTCGAAATGGCCGCCGTTTTGCCCAAAAAACAGTTCTGCTCAAGCTTGCATATTACGCCGAGATTGCATGATACTGTGTTCTGGTTGCCGCCGTGAAACATGCAGTTCGAGTCCCGCGAAGACGGTTTTCCCCACAGAAATTATTTCATTTAAAATTCTTCCAAGAGAGGATTAGGAAAAATGAAAAACCGTACCGACGACCAGAAATTAGATACAACATGCATAGAGCGAGGCTTAGAAGTCGCATTAATCTTGTTCACAGAGTCAAAACGCGAGAATTATACAAGAGAAATTAACACGTGGAAACATGACTTACCTGTCGTCCATCCGTCTTTGATATTCTCTCACAAAACTTGTATAATGTTTCCCAATAGTCTCAGTTTGTAGAACAGTGTTCAAACAATCCCAAGACGTATTTTGAACGAGCAAACCGGTCCCAAATGTTATTGAAACTGTACGACAACAGTGTTAACTGCCATATTTATTGATATTTTGCGAACCCCACGACAGTCGACAGATCCTTTTAAAATCGTCATATTACAACCGTTTTCTTGTCCAAAAGTCTTATTGGTTAGAAAACATGATCAGCCCGATTTGTATCCGAAAATATTCGACTGTAATTTAAAATTATGGTTCCAAATGCCATACACTGAATAGATTTTTCTCGCAGCCAGCCTGAAGACCTATTCCAGGTTATGCTAATATTTGGTTTTCATCCACTGCGAAAACAATCAATTTCTAAAGAAATGAATAATCATGATTCGAATTTGCATGATTGTCAAAATTATAGAGGTCAGGCTGATCACAGTTAATAGAATATACATGCATGGTTTGGAGACTAAATAAAAGTACAATACAACTCATTAATTATGTTATCGCCGCGTCCATGTTTATGAAAAAAATGGTTCCTTTCTCGTCACGTGTCTATTGTATTTAGCCAAATTTACCAATGGCATTTGTCTTGCTAAGCTCCTCAACCTTGACTTGAAAAATATATTAATTATAAGATTGCTATTGGTTTATTTGTGCAAAATACAATAGACATGTGATGAGAAAGGAACAATTTTTTGAATAAATCTATCTCAACATAGTTAATGAGTTGTATTGTAGTTTTATGTGGTCTCCAAACCATGCATATTCTATTAACTGTGAGCTACTAAACGGCTATGCTTAACAAGAATATCTAAAATTTGCTATGCCATATTGTTTTTATTTGAGCAATATTCTGGCAAATTACTTTTTTCTAAGGCATTTGCAGGGTTACTTCATTCTCGCGTGCGCACGCATATTAATACAAGAACCGCTGACTGTCTGAACCATCTACACGCCTAAAAACGCTCAGGTTGATGCAAGTTGATATAAACAGGATGGAGCAATGTTATGCTGCCCACACTGTTCAGAGTTGTTATCAACATTGAACAATATTGTTGAAACTGAATCGGGTGTAACAATATTGTTCAATATTGATAACAACTCTGAACAATGTGGGCAGCACAACATTGCTCCATCCTGTTTATATCAACTTGCATCAACCTGAGCGTTTTTACGCGTGTAGAAAGATATCTCAATTGTAGTCCAGTGTAGGTGGCATTCTACATTAACTTGCTAGGATTTTTTAAATAACATGTCTGAATAACACGCGTCTGAATTAATGAATTACTTTTATTTGTTTAGAGAAGTCCGGACATGAATGATGAGAACAGACATGATAATCCCAGATATTAAGGAAAGTGTAAATCAAATAAACTGAAAAATATTATAGAATTATCACACCATTAAGACGTCTGGCCCAACGAGAGGTTGTTCATTATCAGAAAGCGTCAGACTATAATATGATTTTGATAATTATTTTACTATAAACTAAATTCACTCAGGAATGTTATACCAATAGGATCTTTGCATCACTGACAATTCTTAATCAAACTCAGCTCTCAAACGAAAGAAGCACAACATAGCCTTAATGGTTAATCAATAGCTGTGGACCATTGTCAGCTCAAGGGTCAGTTACACTGACGTTTATATGCCAATGGATAAACGTCCTATACTCCTATTGAATGATTGAACTTACCCCGTTTTCATGCAAGACGGCGGAATCGATTTTAGTTGTATTTTTAAAAGTATATTGAATTTTGAACGAGGCTAAATCTGCTGGTTTTAAAATTAGGATGTCGCAGTGAGGCAAACATATTTTTGTATGTACTCCGTGAGACAGTTTCCGATATTTTGCAATATTTATTCGAGTACATGGTATGAGACTTATATGGCTGCCGTGTCAATTAAAATAATTTTTATTAGTTAACTTATTCACCGGCCAATATATTTTGCAACCACCAAATACCGTCGATACCTTAGTTTACTGAATAATCGAATGGATGGAGCTAAAATGAAGCGTCTTCGAGTTGCAGGTGGAAATTATTTGATGTTTTAATTGCTTTCCCGTCAAAGAAACCCTCATGATACAAATATGTTTCCTAGATTATTCAGACACGGAGTTGCACAAGCAAAATCTCGGCCAGGAACGAACCTCGGCCAGGAACGACCCTCGGCCAGGAACAAACCTCGGCCAGGGACGAACCTCGGCCAGGAACAAACCTCGGCCAGGGACGAACCTCGGCCAGGGACGAACCTCGGCGAGGAACGAACCTCGGCCAGGAACGAACCTCGACCAGGAACGAATCTCGGCCAGGAACGAACCTTGGCCAGCAACGAACCTCGGCCAGGAACGAACCTCGGCCAGGAACGAACCTCGGCCAGGAACGAATCTCGGCTTGGAACGAACCTCGACCAGGAACGAATCTCGGCCAGGAACGAACCTCGGCCAGGATATCTAAGATAAAAGTTTGCATTTTCTACATGAACTTATGAAGTAAAATTCGCAAAAAAAGCAGACAGTTGAATAATCGTAAAGTCTACACAAATGTTGATTTTTGGTGGCCTGAGCTGCAAAATTATTGTCGGACTACGTTATGCGTGAGCAAATTTGTCTGAGTAGGAAACCTAATTAAAGATAATTTACTTAACGATTATTGATAACTCTGAACGAAAACACGACAACTGTATTATAGTTCCCCCACGAGGGGAATGACGCAACTGTGTTGTTATAGACGACCGCCTCACGAAATCACGCGGGCGGCATCAAAGAATCACCAAGGAAAATAATGTGGAGCTAGTACTGGAAGATCCGGAAATATTTCGATAACAGAGGAATATGATCCTTAAGGAAACTTAGTAAAGTATACAGTATGAGCTAGTTCAGTAGTACTATATCTCGCGCACTTTAGGGGCGCTCCATTAAGCGGCTAAAATGGTCAGACTGGTCGTACTTTGAATTGAAATAATATTTCGTTAAAAATATAGCGGTGAAACTGCATTTTCCCTGATAATCAGACGTAAATAACATTAAATCTGAATGCAGATTGCTTAAAACAATCTAAAATACCAGTTATCTGTCTGTACTGAAATACAACAGGACCTGTCTGGCCGCTATAAAGGAAAGCGCCCTAGTTTGTGAAAGGAGTTAGGAGCTGTTTAGCAGAAGAGGCGATGACAGCCGAACTCAGCTCTTCGAATCGATATCTGAACTTTCTCGCGCGCTAGTTCAAGGAATCAGGAATCTTTTTTGAATTTTTTTCAAACCAACAAGGGTAGCTAGAATTCTTAGTAAATATAGTTGGCCCTTTAATTTCTATGTTTCCCGGCAACAAATTGAATATTTCTATTTTTAAAAATCTTTTCAAATAAAGAGGCACGAAGTTGGTTCTGTGCATGCGCTAAGACTGAGAGTTAATGATACCCAAACTTATAGTGAACCATCGAATATTCGCTCAAAATGCAAACAAGTCTATCGTCAGAAACATCGTAAAAGTGATAATAAAATAGCAGCAGTTTAACTTCATCAAGAAAATTCACTACTAGGTTAATTGTATAATATAGCATACCTGTTAGTAGAGCCGATTTTGAAAGACAGGTTAAAGGGATATGGCAATAAAAATCATTTCTGCTTTGTTAAAAAGAAAATTTACACTTTTTAGGGAGCCTTTTTACAAAATTTGTTTATCTTCCTTACTTCGCAAGATATTGGCGATCAAAAACATCGGATATCGAGATATATTCGCCATCTTGTTTTATAATGAGATCTAATTACGTGACGTCATTACGTGACGTTGATAACAATTACATGTTTACGGTTTAGTTTACAATTCTTACAATCCAAACGTTATGAGATACGTGCGATTGTAGCCCCGTTTACACTACACTCGATTTATTGGCACGGCACGGCTAAAATGGGTACCGTGCCCATTTTATCTGTGCTCGGCCTATGTTTTGGCAGCCTGTACACTAATAAAACTGGGTACGGGTACCAATTTTAGCCGTGCCGTGCCAATAGATTGATTGTAGTGAAAACGGGGCTTGTAATACCATGGAACTATCACTTCGCTGGGTCGTTAATTTGAAGTTACAGAACGAATTTTCACCCAGCTAATGACGTAACGAAAATCTTACATGAAATATTCTTAGACATCGTTCTCCGGCAGTGCCCAAAAAATCAGCAAGCAAATGTTAACATGTTTATATTCTAAATATCTTGCTTCTTAAATGCTCGCACAAACGTTGCAAGCTTCTAAACTATATATTTCGTAATGGCGATCACTTTATGGTCGATTACAAGGCATTTACAAACGTGTTCTACACGAACATATTCTTATTTAATCAGCGTCCATTGCCAATCGAATTAGCGCATGCGCATTCCTCGACGATGGCATCGGGAATGCGTCTAAGGACTGTCCCATGTGTGTCTACATACAAAATAAAGAACGATTGCATTTTACTTGGCACACAACAATTGTGGACGCTTTGATTGCATGTACTTCCAGCACTCACGGAAGGGGAACAACCTCCGGTACAAATCTTCGTAGTATTGGGATAGTATTCTTGGATGCTCAGAAATGTCAAATTCAAACTTTTCACCGTGTCTTCCACGATGTAGCTGCATTGTGTATTGGATGTGCTTCGCCTCACCCGACCTGCAGGCAATTCTGAGGTGGTCATATTCGACTTTTCCATATAAAAAAACTCTTGCAAGGAGTTCGGTATCTCGTGCTTATGGTAAACAAGCATCGAGGGAACGAATTCGTAATTGAAATTTTCACCGCCTTTGTAAAATTCTTCAAAATCAAAAATTTTCCCGCCTTTTTCCTCCAAGTGAATCGCGAGTCCTTGATTGGCTGAAATCAATCCGAGCCTTCGTTCGGAATCGTTTGGCCAGTGACTCAGGCATACTTTGTACCAGCCAGAATTTTGAACCAGTAGGGATTTGTAAGCAATTACCCGACCGGTGAAGAGATCCCGAATAGTTGCGGTGTACCTGGCGTTGGGGTTGTTTCCCCGGTGGGGGATGTATAGGAAGATACATTTTTCCAACGTGATTTCACTCGACTTCTCCTGTGGGAGTTGGAGGGTGATTTCGAGGACATCATATTTGGCAACGGCTCCTGGAAAAAGAATGCATCTTTATATTTCAGGTCTGAAATATATTTATATCTTTAATTCATCTACTACAGGAGGAAACCTAAACTAAACTAACTTTATTTATACTGGATAGCTCTATCAGTTCTAAACTGTTTTTCCTAGAGGTCCAGTAAGGATCATCTCTTATTGATCCAGTGTTACTACAGGAGGAAACCTAAACTAAACTAACTTCATTTATCCTGGATAGCTCTATCAGTTCTAAACTGTTCTTCCTAGAGGTCCAGTAAGGATCATCTCTTATTGATCCAGTTTTACTACAGGAGGAAACCTAAACTAAACTAACTTTATTTATACTGGATAGTTCTATCAGTTCTAAACTGCTCTTCCTAGAGATCCAGTAAGGATCATCTCTTATTGATCTAGTGTTACTACAACAGAAAACCTAAACTAAACTAACTTTATTCATACTAGATAGCTCTATCAGTTCTAAACTGTTCTTCCTAGAGGTCCACTGAGGATCATATCTCATTGACCCAGTATACTACAGAAGTTAAATCCAAAGCTTTTTTAATTAAAACTGCATATTCGCTTTATAAATTCTCAACAGTTTTTCTTAAAGTTCTATGTTCTCTGTAGGAATCATCTTTTATTGATCTGATACAGCTGCGGTTCTCGCTGGCTGCTGTTTCCATTTATAGATATCCACTTAAAACTATCATATATTAATCCACTAATAACATTACAAGATAAATATTAAACAAACACGTCCTAAATATCAAAACTTGCAAATCTTACATTTGCGTTCTTGAGAAACAAGACAAAAAAAAATCTGCCTGACGATATTTCACCTTACTCCCAAATCAAGGTCAAAATGAGTTTAGGATATCGAGATATCTTCGGAATTTTATGTCTTGTTTTTTTGCATGATGAAGAAATCTTTCAATGACATCGCCTGGGCCACTAAACTACTTAACTGTTGAAACATTTGAAACGAGCAAGCTTTTAAGAGATCTGGACACGGTCAGGCTTTCAACGTCGAACGATTCAAATCCTAGCACAATCCTCGTACCCAAATTGAAAGTTGTCGTAATCTCAAACCATATACTGAATAATAGATATGCTGAGATGCAATGTTTTGCTCAGTATTAATCAAGACCTTCATCATATCATTGTACGAACGGGGGCGGGCGAGGTCTACGCTAAATATTTGATCCCAGCAAGTCAAAACACTTACTTTCAGCCCTGACGAGTCTTGTGCTATCAGACCCTTCGGGAAAGGTTAATTTCTCGAATTCTTCCAAGTACTCAGGTATTCTCAATTCGCTTTCCTTCGGTTTTGAAATGATGTAGCCACAACATACTGTCACACAGCTAACGACGAATATTATTCGTACAAACCACATTCTCGAACGTTACTGTTATTGCACAGAATACGATACGAGCAACAATGTTTTCGCTGTGGAGCTTACTGATAACCGTTACGACACTCCTGGAAGGTGACAGTTCGTTTTCTACTGTGTCAAACACTCTCCTTTTGTCTTTTAGTCGTAGGACGCAGTCGTACTAAATCTTGTCGTTTTAGCTTCGAGTTATGGAGGTTTTCTCAGCTTCGCTTTCGAGAGTTGTTTGGACGTACACAATTCCTTTCTCTCCAGCACAGTTACAGCACTTTTCGTCTTTTGTATAAAAATATATTTTTCCTTTTCACTGTCAGACGCCAGTCGCTCCCGTTTGTTTACCCTTTGCTCTCCTTTCTGAGTACGCAACAACTCTATTTCTAGTTTCCACTGGATCTTGTTTGTTGGGTAAGAAACTCACGTTCGATTCGTTGAATCTTTACTTCTAAAACAGTGTATTTCTACGGAGGAAGAACTCTGCTTCGCTTCACGATCGAATTTAGTGTGCCGAGCTTGCTGCTCCAGCCTTGTTTATGTAACTGCTGCAACTTCTGACGTTCAAGTTTAAAGCCTTCATATCAAATCCATGTTTCGGAAACGCTTAGGGACATCACGTAATAGGATTTGCGCGTAAAGTCGTCCACCTCATTCAGCCAATTTCCTTTCACGAACCGGAACACTTAATGTATATTTTATAGATGGGGGTACGTTTTTTCCATCAAAGGATTGCATTCCTTACAATTATTTAATACTTTTAGATTGCATTTCTTTGTAGGTATGCGAAGCACATTCAAATTGTGTAATTGCATCTTGCAAAATTTAGCGGTTTCCTCCAAAAAAGAAATCAATTGGAAATCATAACATGTGCACCGAAAAACTGTTTGAAGTTATGCCTTTAAACTAGTGATGATTTGAATTTAAACATTTTTGCGGACATCTTATAATGAGATTTGTTAAATTCGCCGAAAACGATTGTGAAAGATGAAATTCTATAGCCCTACAGTGTAATATTTTAAGATTAAATTAGGAATAATACTCTTATTCTGGCAACTTACAATTGTGTCCGTTACAAAATCCATTCTGGGATTAACTGCTTTACGCCCAACCTGTATAGAGATGCTGAACTATTTATTCGCATTGTTTTGAGCATCCGATGTGTCATTTTGTCAACAAAACTCTTAAACGTCCACTCAAAATTGTCATCTCGATACGACGCCAATATTCCCCCACCACGAGAAGTGCCAAAATAAAAAATATCAAGCTTGTTTGCTTCAAGAAAGCCTCAAAAAATATTTCAATGGTCCGATGACGTGTTTGCAGGCATAACGCACGACTACATACAAATAGTTATCGTTTTTCAAATCGCGATGCATTTTATAGCGAACCGATGTCAGTTCTAGAGACACTATAAGAATTAACCAAGACTATTTTAAATTAAAGTGATTTAGAAAATACGAGACACAGTCCCGTGCAAGTGCATCGCTGTCTTTCAAAAACACATTTTTCAACAGCTAAGACACAACATATGCATATTGTTTGATCAGAGGTTATTCTTTGTAAGCTGGAGTTGCTACCACTTTTAAAAAGTGTAAGAGAAAATTTCTGGACATGGAAATTATTATATGGGTAGCTGTAGATATATTTTCGTACAATTTTAAACAGTGGTAGCAACTCCAGCTTAGAATAACTCCTCAGTCTAACTACTTAATATGTTCTGGTTGCGACAAAAATCATGGCGGATAGGCACTGGTTGATTGTAACATGATCACGCCAACCGCCTCGAATCACTGGGAGAGTCTGGAAATATTCAAATATATTGCTCTCTGAATCTGCATGCTTAGCCAAATATGAAATATGGTATATAAATCGTTTATTCGCAACTATAATTCACTATGACAAAAGAGGAATGGATTTAACCGGCCAGAATTTTAATTCCATTTGTGTGAAAAAAATAAATATTTAAATTTAGAAGTGAGACGATTTTCATGCATGAACTTTTGCTAATGGCTTTTCGCCGGATCGATCAATCATGGCTAAAATTTCAAATCGAAAAAAACACCCTCAAATTGTAGAAGAGTTATTAAAAGGGCTTAGGTCATCTTGAAAGATGAAAAAAAAATTCAGTTCCTATGAGCCATTAGGTTCTGGTTTTCAAGATAACTCATTTCGCTAGGCAACACAAGAAAGCAACGTAAAGATAAAATTAAAACGAATTTCTAGCTAAAATGCATGTGTTCGTGTGCCGAAATGTGCCTTACTGCCAACTAAATTGCAGAAAGACCTCAAGATGATCAAAATCTCATTCGTGAAAAAAAGTATTTAACTAAAAGAAGCATGCAATAGCTGTTATTCTAAATGAATTGTGGAAATTTAAAGAGCTGTTAGTTAAGGTGTCTATATAGGTATAGTCTAAATGTGTGTTCTATGTATTTTATAGCAGAAACTTGTCATAACCTTTAACATAAAGGCGGCTATTTTGAATAATTTTCAACATTGCTGTGAATATATTTTTACCAGATGCGTGGGTGAATAACTATATACCATGTAAAGAATTATTAAATAATAATTAAGTAATCTTGTACATTTGCTTTTACTCGGAGAGAGCACTTAGGGAAACGTCTTACACAAAAATAGGATTAATCCTTTTAAATAAAACCTCTAATCCATTCATGTAACAAATGGACAGCTCATAATTACAAGCAATAGACATGCAATTTCCACGTTCTGACGTTGAAGTAAATATACATTAACTCACTCGGCTTTTGTTCGCCGTTCATGCTAATTTTGTCTTCCTCTTATAAACCAGGTGTTCGCGTGCGTGCTTCGAAAACGGCCCTTGGGAAATTCCGTAAATTTCAATAGCCATCTATTGGATTATTTCGACACAGTGGTTATCGGTCTTAAAGTTTGTGTTATTCTAAACAAAAGCTCTTACCGAGGCTAATTTTTAACATTCACACCTATGTATTACCACATGCAACGGAAAAATTTTACTTTGCATTTTTTTACGCTCCCAAGTGCATGTCAGAAAGTTCTATCAAATTCTGCGTATCCCTAATGCTCTGATGTCATCTGTGCCCTTTAATTAAAGGCGATGAGTGCCCGAAGGTGGATTGAACGACCGAGTTGACTTGTTCGAAAGTTCTAGTACGAATTGACGAGATTCCGATGGACCTCAGTATAATGCTTAAAACTCTGCGTTTTTTATATCGAAACAAGATAAAAAATCCATCGCATCCTTAATTTGGTAAAATTCCAAAATTCCTGCAAAGCTTGCATATATTTATGCACACTTACGGATGTTGTGCTTCGAATATTTTCATTTAGCAGGTATGCTATCAGTGGCCTTACATCAATCCTAACAAATAATAATTAATGAAAGTACATCCAACATGGCTGCCAAAAGTAACGTGTTTGGTTTTTAAATGTTTTGAAGCCAATTTAAGAAAGAAATTGAAAGATACATTTTTCAGTTTCTACAATATTTACTTCACAGGTTGAGAGGTCGATATCTCATAAAAAATTTAATGGCTAAGTAATTGAAAAATGATTTATTGAATTTGATAATGCTCAATCCTTGTCTCTCCTTACTACGACCAGGGAGAAATTCCTGTTCGTCCTTTTTCTCTATAATTCAGACCTTATTCGGAATAATTAGACAAGATGAAGTCGAGGTGAATATTCCCCGATAATCACAAAGGCAAATAATTGTTTTAGTATTTTTGCACAAGTAAATTGACACAAGAACTGCATTTGTTCGCTTATCTCTTTGTAAGAAACGTCCACAAAACGGCTAGCCGCCATTTTGAAATTTGTTATATTCACCTGAAGGTGAATATAACAGCATAATACGTCAAATTTGACCAATCTGAATGTAGGATTTGTTATATTCACTTGTGCAAAAATAATTATTTAACCCTAAGAAACAGGGGCAAGTCGTATACACTATAGTCTATAGGTCGTTATTATGCTATATATGACATTGCACGTTCGACGAACATATTACGAAATACTTTACATTTCCAACTACAAGCCTTGCGGCTAAAGTTGACCTAATCTCATACGAACATTCAACAAGTTTTTAGATATATCTCTCCCATGTCGCTTCACAGCTGGTAGAGTGTTGAACAATAAGGCTGTAAGCCGTTTAGCAACTTGTGGGAGGAAAGCCACTTCACTCTGTCAGCAACACCAACGCACTCAAGTTTCAATATCAACTTATTGTCACATACCTAAGCCATTAGGAACAATCATAGGCTTCATGTTGTCACGGCAGCGATCCAAAACAATATTTTTTGTCCGGTTAAAACAACTGGAAAGTTGTTTACATCGTTGAAGTCAAATTGACCGACAATGACATAAAAAATCTTTTCTTCTTTCTGCTTCGTGTTTTTACACCCTTTCATTTGAACAGCAACATTGTGAATTCATGAGCTGATAGTTTGTTTAGTGATACGTTGCCAGAAATAACTGAAATTAGGCAATCAGCGAGAAAGGACTGAAATATAAGTTGTTTTTCGACCATGAAGAACTCGTGCGTCAATTCCCTCCATGTCGTATATATAGTATTTCGATCAACGCGTTGACTGGCTTTGACGATCATATTCTGTTTTGGCAACCGTTTATAATTTTTTCCATCGCAATGCGTTGATTAGCCGTGGTGTTGGCACAGCTAATCAAATCACAACAACATAGTCTATACGGGCTTTTTGGATTACCTCGTGCGATTTTGCTTCAACGCGCTGAATTAATTGTAATGAATTTCACTTATACAATATAACTACACAAGAAAAACTATGTTTCAGCCTTGGCGGACCTTAAAGGCTTGTTCACTCTCCAGTTGATAAATTGGTAACCTATTGACTAATGTATATATTCTTCTCGAACTTACTAAGGTTTTAACAGAATGACCCAAGACGATGGGTATACAGCGCAAATTCACTTTCTGGTAGTATGAACGATACCTGCTGTTCCTATACTCGCGACTACTTTATCACGCATGACAA